CCTGCAAATCAGACTGACCAGAGACAGATCAAAAGGAGGAGAGGCATATACATCTCATTAGCTGCACATTTTTTATTTCTGTGTGCATGGAGACCCTCATGGAAATGAAGGGTCAGAGATGTGGTTAGTCTCAGGAGCTCATATACCATCTGAACAAAGGGCAGTAAGTTGTGGAGAAGTAATTATCTAAAGAATGGGAGGTTTTGGCTTCTACGGGAGGTAAATTGTGGGAAGGCCCAACTGTCCCCAAGGCCAGACTTGCAGACCTGTCCTGTAATGTGCTGGTGTCTTTTTGTCCCGTCCCTGGCACATTATAACCGTCCAACTCTTCTGGTATCGATAGGGAACTTACCATGCAAGTGGCTCCAAAGCCCTCGTCACCCGTGGGTGCCCTCCCAGCGGGTGCCTGGTGTCAGAGTTGTAATCTCCAAGCACGCCTGTCACGCACACTCTTTCTTCCATCTAGTGGGGGCTTCGGTGGGTGGAATTGTCCATCTAGGGAGGTTGGGTTAAACACGAATGCCACATTTTCACCTTCATGTGGAAGTTCACTTATGATTCTCGTAGCACGGAGTAAGGCTGGTGCTCTCTTTGGTACCTTCACTGGTAAAGACTCACCCCTCCCCACAACGTCGTCCGCATCTCAAAGTCATTATCAGAGTTTTCTTCTCACACTGCAGTGGATTCCACAACCTGCCTAGTACATGCTGGTAAATTTGTGAAGTTCTACCAGTCACGTGGTCTCTCTGAGGGTGTGTACTTGGCCCGTGTCTGGAGTGATCATTTAGATTCAAATTGTTGCTCAGTGTCAGTCTCCCAACCCCAAATCCTTGACAAGGCACCTGATGTCTGCGTGTAGCCGGAATAAAGCCAGGCCCCTTCATGATCCAATCTCAGGACATAGTTATACTCAACATGTATCCGAAAGGTAATTTAAAATCAATTTAGATATTTATGACATTTTTTTGGGAGAAAATGTAGGGAGGGATTATTTTAAAGCAAAAGTTGTAAGCATTATTTATTTTATTCTCTGACACAGTCAATCTCATGGCATCTTTCTCCTAAAAGTCCTTACCTTTTCTCAACTCCCCTGGGTTGGTTGATAGAGGAGTGAGGGCTTTGAAAACGTTATTTTCTTTTTTTATATTTTATTGATTTTTTACAGAGAGGAAGGGAGAGAGATAGTTAGAAACATCGATGAGAGAGAGACATCAATCAGCTGCCTCCTGCACATCTCCTACTGGGGATGTGCCCACAACCCAGGTACATGCCCTTGACCGGAATCGAACCTGGGACCTTTCAGTCCACAGGCCGACGCTCTATCCACTGAGCCAAACCGGTTTCGGCTGAAAACGTTATTTTCATCCTATTTTTATCTCCAGTACTGTATGGAGGTTTTGGAAATATTAAGATAGACACTGAATCATTTCCAAATCCAAATTATGTTTGGATATCTTTGACATGTCTGGTCATGTCTCCTGTATATCATTTTATTATCTTAAAAGCCGATTCCTGAACATTTTCGTGAATCAAAAAACCACATATAGGAGAAGATGATTTTTTTTAAAGAAAATTTTCACACTGACTTTTGTGTATCAAATATTATGGGGAAGGAAGAGTTTGAAAAAAAACTTAAAAAGACTTTATGCTTACATTATGTTAGCTTTTGTGGCACTTAAAAGAATTCAGTTAGCTTTTTAAAATAATAACTGTTTACAATCCCATTATAGGATAATAGAATGAACCCTACTTTTCCATGGCTGCAGGGTGTTATGTCCTGGGGCCCAGGCAACAATAGAAACTTTCACTGCTGAGTTCAGCTCTAAGTATGGCCACTTGCTTGCTGCTTCCGATGACCATCCATGTACCCCCTCTTACTCCCCAAAAAAGAACTCTGTGAGGTAAAACAGTGTGTCAGGGAACAGAGAAGCCAAGGAATAGAGGACAACTTAATGACTGGCTTACGTGTGTGGCTCTCCCAGAGGATAGCTCCATATGCCTCTCCCAAAGACACTTCCCATTTGATGGACCCAGAGCCGTGTGAACTGTGCACGGTCCCTGGGAGCACCGGCCATTCCTCCTCCGTCCCCTTTAGTGCGTCCTGAGGTAGGCACGCCTCTACCCTGCTGCTCTTCACATGGCCGGTACCTCCTGTGCCGATCTTCTCCTGCACTGTCACCTCCTTATGGCAGGAAATGGGTGTTCGTGACCTCCGTCTAGGCCAGCGGTTCTCAACCTGTGGGTCGCGACTCCTTTGGGGGTTGCACGACCCTTTCACAGGGGTCGCCTAAGACCATCCTGCATATCAGATATTTACATGACGATTCATAACAGTAGCAACATTACGGTTATGAAGTAGCAACGAAAATAATTTTATGGTTGGGTCACAACATGAGGAACTGTATTTAAAGGGCCAGAAGGTTGAGAACCACTGGTATAGGCACGCGGCAAATGCCTTTGCACTGAGGGAAGGAAGGAAGGAATAAGCTAACGGATGAAAGGGACAATTGCCAGAGAGATGTCCACTGTCCAGAGCTTTGCTGTAATTGCCCAATTTCCCTGGAAATCTCCGGGAGCAGAATGTTCCCAGGTGCGGTGTGCGTCGTACCTGTGTCGGAACCACCTGGTTGGGGTGCTTGCTAACATTCAGATTCCTGTCTTTTTATTCATTACAACAATAATAGCTTTCCCAGGAGTCCCACCCAGGAGGCTTCCACGCACATCACACCGGCTGGAGCGAGACCACATGCCACCCTCAGCTGTGAGGGATTTGGAGAGAGAAGCAGGGGTAATTGGGCTCGTTGTTGCCTTGGACAAAGGTGGGGCTCCGTGGGCGTGGAAGCAGCTCAGCGGATGGGCAGGGAGCAGCACCTGCTCTGAGGAGCCCCAGGACATTCCTCACGGCCAGTTTTAGGCGGCTGCCTGCGTGCCTTAGAAAGATCAGGGCTGTGGTTGCATTCCCGTGATGGACGGGGTCGGGTCCTTGTGTTTGTTGGCGTGTGGAGGTGATGCCCTGAATGGGTTATGCTTTCCATTCCTGTGAAGGACCATGGCTGCTCCTTGCACTTTCATGGAAAGAGTCTTTAACTTCTAATGTGCTGAATGCCAATCCCATGAAAGGACCACCCTCCCCGAGTTCCCTGGCTTGTCAATGTGATGAAGCCGCTGGGCTCCCAGGACAACGGCAGGCGGAAGTCTCTCAAAGCTGGGTAATCCCAGCCTCGCTTTTTGTTTCTTTTACGCTCCAAAGAAGAGAGGTTTTGCCCTGGCCGGGTGGCTCAGTCAGTTGGAGCATCGTCTCGTGCACCAAAAGGTTGTGGGTTTGATCCCCAGTTGGGGCGTGTATGAGAGGCAACCAGTCGATGTTTCTCTCTTGCATCTATCTGTGTCTGTGTGTGTCTCTCTCCCTAAAAATTAATAAAAACATATCCTCAGGTGAAGATTAAAGATAAGAAGAGAGGTTTCTCCTCTGGGATATTCCCTTGGGCTTGGGATCTTTCCTCTTTCTTTCCATTTTTTAGTGGAGCTCTTGCTTCACCCTGTCTGGTTGACCCCTGCTCTCGGTTAAAGTGCACCACTAATCTTTCCTCCTGGAAAAGGGATTTGGGGAAACAAATGAGGTGTATTTGGCCTAGCCGGTGTGGCTCAGTGGTTGAGCATTAACATGTGAACCAGGAGGTCATGATTCGATTCCTGGTCAGGTCATGGTTCGATTCATGGTTCGATTCCTGGGTTGCAGGCTTGATCCCCAGTAGTGGGGGGTACAGGAGGCAGCTGATCAATGATTGTCTCTCATCATTGATGTTTCTGTGTCTCTTCCCCTTCCTTTCTCTCTGAAATCAATAAAAATATATTTTAAAAAACCCCAAAAACAAATGAGGTACATTGGACTGTAAGAGCCAGTGTTACTGTACACATTTTTGTGCACCTGTAAACCTCTGAAGGGCCTCCTTTCGCGTTTTCAGTTCATTTACTCTTGTAGGCTCTAGGACAGAGCTTCAAACTAGTGGGATGTAAGCAAGTTATATAGAACTGGAGGCCCGATGCACAGAATTCGTGCAAGGGGCTCGGCCCTCGCAGCCCTGGCTCTCAGCCCTCTCTCGCAGCCCCTGGCAGCCCTGGCCGACCCTCAGAGCCCTGGCTTCGTCCGTAAGGTCATCTGGACGGTCGTCTGGAAGGTATCCTGGATGGTCGTTCTGTTGTTCGCTCTAATAGCGTATTAGCTCTTTATTATGTTGGATATGCATTCCTCAGCGCTCAGGGTGGGGGCGGAGCCTGGGCCACCAGAGTGTCCCCGCCCGTCATCTGAAGTTGTGAGTGCCTCTTCCATCGACCCCAGTGTGCCTACAAATATGACCGTTCTCTGTGTCATGAGGTCAGACAGCTTGGAAAATGCCACGTTCAGGCCTGTTCCCTGGCTCTTTCTTTCTATCCTCTTCCCTTTGGAGGTCCAGATGCTGCCTCTTTCCTCTTCTTCCATCGGCTCGAGGTCTCCTGCCTTTGGCGGTTTGTGAACGGTGTTCCTAGCAGACCTGGTGCCGGGACGCTGTCCGTGGCAAACCTGGAGTGTGTCTGACTCCATTTTATAATTTAACGTCCCTTTTTGTCCCCCACGTGGAGTCTTGTTATATTCTCCCCGCTCTGCTCTTCCCTCCTTCCATAAAGATTCAATCGATGGGGCTCAGCCCCTTTCCTACACATCAGCTCGGCCCCCAGGCTCTGCTGTGCCCTTCGCTCTCTGTAGTCTTGTTGTTGGCCACACTGACCGACCTGGCCAAGCCCAGAGATGCCACCGTCTTTCCACCTGCACCCTCCCCAAGTCCCCCATAAGATGCAAGTGTAGAAACTCAGCGTAATAATCTGCTGGGAGTCGTCATTCATGGTAGTGTTCATTGATATTTCCCATTCATCTTTATCTTAGAACTTGTATTGGTCTTTGAGCTGAGGAAGGACAGAGAGGTTGTGATGAAGCTGAAAAGTGTTTCTTTGTTTTTTTTCAGATGAGAATTCTCCAGCCAACTTCTGGGATTCTAAAAACAGGGGTGTGACGGGGACACAGAAAGGGCAGATTGTGTGGAGGATTGAGCCCGGGCCCTATTTCATGGAACGTAAGTAACCAAGTGTGAAATAGATGTTGGTGATGCGACATTGTCTACATATGCAGGAATCTATGGGGTCTTTTCTGAGTGCTATTTAAAATGGTTTTTGGTCTGATTTACATACACTTATACCATAGAACTCCAAACTGGAAAATGTATTATTTTAGAAAAAGCTCCATATGAACATATGATTTATAAATTACGTGTGGCTATTTTAATACTTCACACATTTTTATATACCTTGCAACTACATTTGTAATTCATATTTAATTATTACTAATTTTAGAGAGCAGGAAAAACAATTCAAGATTTAAATTTAAGCGTTTAACTTAATTTAAAATTTTTGTTTGCTAACTCTGCTATTATTTTTCCCAGCGGCAGAACAACTTTTGCATTTGGGTCCTGGTTTTTACAAGTGTGGGTAAGATAGTCTGGGACTGCTATAGAGGTCTATTTACTGCTATAGAGGTCTCTTTACTAGGAATCGAAAATTGCCTACCGATAATTCAACCATGCCCCAGTTATCTGATGTTATATTCATTTGTACATGCAGATGCTTTTACATAGCACACATGATTCACAGAAATATGTCATTCCTTTTTATTTTGGATGAAGCGGAGTATCTATACTTCCCACTAATATTATTGAAAACATAGTAAGTACATTTATGTGGAGTAGCTAGATACTACTGTAAGCAAATAATTTACTGGTTGGTCTAGGTTAATGTCTACACATACAGAATTTTTCCTAACTGTAGACAAAATTGGCTCTAAACACTTTCCCAGTTATTTATCTCTGTATAACAATTACATTTTCCATACGCAGGGTGTTTATTCCAAGAGAGTGTGGGGTTGCTATACAGGGAGTGTACTTACTGCACCTTAAAATATAAAGTAAGGTTTGATTGAGTAGCAACTTGATGTAGGCACATTATTAACGCACATGAAACTTCTGCAGTATAACAAGTTGTTTTGGAAGATTAGCAGCCATTATTTGAATTGCTATCAGATTATTTCTTCCACATTTTCACTGGGGGGTCAGCATTCTAGAGCTTCCTCTAATCCTGTTTCTGACCCTTAAGCAATGCCTTCTTTTCAGTTTAATTTCTGGCTAGATTCTCTCTTTAAATCTCAAGTGGGATATAATTTTCAGGGAAAATGGTGAGAGGGAAAAGGCAGATACATACGGCACAGCCCCAGCTGAAGTCATGGCGGATGGGGAAAGCCCCTCAGGATATGTTTGCCAAAATGTGAGAGGCTGTTTCTGGGGGGTGAGGTTATGGGTGCTTTTTCCAGCCTTTTTCTACTTTACTTTCCAACCGTGGCCCAGCTGGCATTACTACCTAAGCCATCGGAAAAATAAATGATAAAAGGCTATGGGGAAAAGGGAATGGGAACGCACCAAGCTTCCTCTCAGGGTGATTCCTCTTTTGAGAGGGTCCCAGGGTTTGAGAGGCTGACCTGGCTGAGAAATATCACCAACTGAAAGTCAGGGGAAAGGCGAAGCAACCTCCGTGTTGGCTCCCAAGTGCAGAAGGCTGCGGCAGTGATCACCCCGGGTGGCGCGTGCAGATTCATACTGTGGGGTGTTCCGAGATGAGTAACTCGGAACCCCGGGAAGAAGTCAGTATCACGTGCTGCTGCCACTTGGAACAGTATGTGTGAACAACCACCACCACCCATGGACAGACTGTCTCAGTGTTTGTGACTGACTTTCTTTCTCCCTTCGAAAGTGGTAGAGGCTTGGGATGTCCTGGTTGATGAGGGGCTAGTAAACCTCTCTTTCTCTGAGAAGGTTTTTCTTTACCCCTCCTGATAGTACTTAATATCTCTCCCTCTCTCTCTCTCTTCCCCTCCCCCCTTTTCTCTCTCTAAAAAATCAAGAAAAACATATCCTCTGGTGAGATTATGAAACATTTTTTTTTTTTAAAATCAGGGGGTGGCTGAGTATGTTAGACAGTTTTTATATTTTTAATCTTTGGTCTTGAAAACTTAACGACACCAAAAAACATTTGCTTTCATCTTCAGACAGAAAATTTTTATCTTTAGCTCATCAGAAGTCCAGTCAAAGTAAAATTCTCCAAAAATTGACCTAAATTCATGGGAAAAACCTAGATTTGAGCACGGAGCTATTTCTGAATATAAAGATGGCTTCCGTTTATCTTGATAAACCCCTACAGGAGGCAGGAGGCAGGAGGCCGGGCATATTATTACGGGACCTGCCTGAATGAACTTGAAGGACAAAGACTGGTTTAATGTGGGGTAGACGACGTTGCTAGGCATTGGAGAGGAGGACTGCTTCCCTCTGCACTTGTCATCGGACTGTCAAATATTCCTCAAATGAGCTGATGCTCGCAGAAACTGGGTTGCTCATCTGGGCTGTGTACATTCTTGCGTTTTGAAATGTAAGAGGTTTCAAAACTTGTCTTGGGTGAGACATGCCAGAGTGTCTGTTTCTGTAGTCTTTTATAGACTACTAGAGGCCCAGTGCATGAATTCATGCACAGGTGGGGTCCGGCCGGCCTGACCTTGATGGGGCCAATAAGGCAGGGCCGGCCAGGGGGAAGGGCTGAGGGCCGTTGGCTGGCTGGCCCCGCCCCCTGGTCAAACTCCCCGTTGAACTCTTGGTCGAGGGGACAATTTGCATATTAGTCTTTTATTATATAGGATGATCATTCATTCATTCGTTCAGACCTGCTTTCTCTCCTGCCTTCCTCCTGTCTATTTGTCCACCTATATGTGCAGAAGCCATTCTTGGGTAGATGGATCATTCCTTGCTCCCTAGTCCAGATCCTCTGTCTTCCCTGCCTGTGAGCAGGCTGGCCCTGTGAGCAGTGGGCTTCTCCCTGTTCTGATGCTCGGTCATCGCACCTGCATTGGCTTTCCCTGTCTTTACATCTGTTTCTCGCAGGAATAGCTTTTTGTTTTCCTCTTGCAGTGAGAGGTTAAAAATATAGCTCAAACAGAAGGCTGGGCCTCAACAGCCCTTTCCACCCTTTTGAGTTTTCTTTCCAGTTACTCTTCTCATAACAAATGTTCAAGGACATTGGTCAACATGCTAGTTTCTCTCTTACTCAGAGGGGCCGTATTTTAATCTTGAGTGACCTAAAGCACTAAATAATATTTGGACGTGACAGCTCCCACCCACATGGAACATTCCCGTATTTTCGGGACAGGCATCTTTCCTGGTGTCCTGCTCCAGGACCTGGCTGGTTTGAGTCCAGGTGCCAACAGCTGTTCTCTGTTTTTCTCTCTGGGGACCTGCTGTGTGTTTGCTTTTGTGACGGGTGATCTGCGTCAATCCCTGTGCTTGGCCCCACCCAGGAAGCCGTGGGAAGCTGTTGACTCTGTCCTGTTTGGGGTGATCATGCCCATCCACAGAATCTGTTTTGTTCAATTCAGAGTAAATTCATCTTAGACGTCACTGAGACTCTAGTGCAGTGATGGCGAACCTATAACATGCGTGTCAGAGGTGACATGCTAACTCATTATTTTGGTTGGTTTTTCTTTGTTAAATGGCATTTAAATATATAAAATAAATATCAAAAATATAAGTCTTTGGTTTACTAGGGTTGCAAAGATAAAAAAATTTCTATATGTGACACGGCACCAGAGTTAAGTTAGGGTTTTTCAAAATGCTGACATGCCGAGCTTAAAAGGCTCGCCATCACTGCTCTAGTGTATCACTGGGGTTATAGATTTGGGTTATAACAAGGAATAAAATAGCACCTAAAATGGGCCAACTGGCGAAGTTGGCCTGGCTACCACTATCCTACAGATAAAAATGAGCAGCCCAGCCGGTATGGCTCAGTAGTTGAGTGTTGACCTATGAACCAGGAGGTCACGGTTAGATTCCAGGTCAGGGCACAGGCCCAGGTTGCAGACTTGATCCCCAGTGGAGGGTGTGCAGAAGGCAGCCGGTCCATGATTCTCTCTCATCTTGATGTTTCTATGTCTCTCTCCCTCTCCCTTCCTCTCTGAAGTCAATAAAAAAATTTTTTAAAAAATGAGCAGTCACTTGTTTTATCTTGGAGTGTGTTCCCTCGCTGACTGTGTAGAGGAGATGGCACCCTAACTGGAGAGTTCGGGGAAGGTCTTACACAAATGCACGTCTCTGTGTTGGGAAGCGAGCTGCTCGCTTCCTCCGCGTTGACTTGGCCATGGAGGCCCTGCTGCAGGCGGATTCGGAGTCCCGGTCTCCAGCGTTAGGGGGGGACGCTGATGCGCTCCTGCCCGCAGAACCCAAGGCTCACGCCCGCCACCCGGCTTGCCCGGCTTTGACGGCCTGTGCGTTGTGCTGAGCCGTGTGCTTGCCGAATACGTGCTGTTGGTCTTGGGAGAAAGCAGGGGGGAGGAAGTTTGCTCAGGTCTGTGCAGCTGTCACAATCGCAGTCACACTCAGAGCCCTGAGTGGGTGTTCACGCCGGGCGTGTCCAGGAGGGGCGGTGCCAATGAAGCTGGGATGCCCACGCCCGTGGCTCCTCAAAGCCCGCAGCTCCTCAAAGCCCGCAGCTCATCGTTCCTGCCTCGGCCACTCCTCGCTCCCAGCCTGCTCGTCTGTTAGGTTTCCCATCCTCAGGTTTCCGTCCCAACCAGGGTGTTCTGTGAGCCTTCCCGATCCCGCGTGTCCTCCCTGGTGTCTGCCTCCCGCCTTCTCCCGCCATCCTCTCTGCCAGTGTCTGTCTCCTGTGCTTCGTCAGGCCTGTGGCTGCCACCCCCACACTCCGCCACCCGCCGGACCAGATGCCTTCCCCGGATCCTCCCGCCCTGCCCGGCGTGGGGCGGGCCTGTTTGTGCCGGGTGCGGGGTGCGGGGTGCTGGGTGCGGGGTGCTGGGTGCGGGGTACCAATCCTCTGCTCGGCAGCGCTCGCTACATTTCGAATCACCACAGTGACGCCCGTTCGTGATGGAAAGACGCAGTGTTTTACCTCATGACAAGACTGTTCTTTTTGCATTTCATCATGGATAGGAAACGTGCAATAATATAAATTCCTAAAAGAGGATTTTTTAAAATTGTTGTATTTTTTCTCTTAAAACAAGTGAACCAGATACTCTGTGGAGGTCATCGGGGGCAGCCGGGAGGGTCCGTGGGAGGTGGACTTCCTTGAGAAATACGTCCAGTGGCTCCCCCTTTAGTGGTCCAGGGGACTCAGTGGAGGAGGCCGCTCCTGTAGGCGGGCCTGGCCCTGGGGCTGCCCATCAGCATCCCTGCCTGTATCGGATGATACCTGGGGAGCGAGGCATCTTGTGGTGACACTTCCGTGACTCAGGCGCGCTGTGCACGGAAACAGTCCAGTGCCTGTGCCATCTACCTGTGCCGCGTTCTGACTTCACGATCTTTGAAATTGTTACTTTCCAAAATCAGTAAATGACGTTTGTATTGCTCTTTATCAAGTTCAGATTTTACACATATGAAATACATATATGCTACATACATGTGTAATAGATATGAACACACACATAACCTGTGGATATAGATCTCCACATACACCTGCATCTGTCTGTTCATGTGCCAGTAGTGTCTGTACCATTGGTTACTAAATTTGATCCCTGTCTGATAGCTGCATTTAGATCACTTGGAAATTTAAAATAATGCATGTGCCCAGGCCCTAGCACTGCATAGTCTAAGACAGTATTTTCTCATACGTGTTAACCTGCTTTCTGTGTCGGTGGACAGCTGCAGCCTGTCTGTATTGTAGAGGTTCAGGATGAAGGCTTTGATACCTAAGGTCGGTTTGAGTCCTGACCCTGTCATTTCCTGCTTGACCTTCAGCACATCACACTCCATCTGCAGCCTGGGGACAGGCCTTTCTGCCTCCCAAAGTGGGTGTGAGGTGAAGGGGCCCTGAGACCAGAGAGACACCTCCACGCAGGGCCGCTAGCCTTAGCCTCATCTCCACGTGGTTTACTTTGTGGCACGTTGGCGCATTATCTTCTAATACGTTTGAGGGTGTCCTTACAAAATCCGGAGGAGCATCTGAGGTCAAGTACGAAGTGGCATAACCAGCCCGTTGCCTCTGCTTGGAAAAGGAGGGACCATTCAACGACTCAGAGTAGGGCTTTCTGAGAGGCGGTGTGGGAATGGCCTCCGCTGGTTGTTCCGTGTTTGAATGACTGTGTTTCTCCAATCCATCTGCAGCGGAGATAAAGATCTGCTTTAAGTACTACCACGGCATCAGCGGAGCCCTGCGCGCCACCACCCCCTGCATCACCGTGAGGAACCCCGCTGTGATGGTGAGTCCTGCTTGCTGCTTCCTGGGGTGGGCGGTCCCTGGGGCCTTGCTTTCTATTTCTGCACCTGCAGCTCTGGCAGATGATGGGGAACTCTGAGAAGGAAACGCAGGGAATGGGGGGGGGGGGCTCCGCTTTATTAAAGGGAATCACGCGCAGGCTGGCTTACCTGCATCCATCATTCTAACCAGTGGGAAAACAGGATTGGATTTATATCAGCTCTGTGTCGTCAGCTCTCCATGAAGCAAATTCGTGAGTGCTCCACTGTGGAAGGGGTTTCAGACTCCACTGGGGTCGGTAGGAGATGGTAACATTGCATCTTCACGTGCGTTTAATTTACAGGAGCTCAGTGCGCCGAAGGGAGAACAGTCATGACTTAGCGTGTGTGCTTCTGCCTGCTGCTCAGTGAGCTTCCATCCCAAAGGGAGTGTGCGGTGGGGATCAGGCATGTGCTCTTCCCCGGAGGCCTCAGTGCTGAGTCCCTCTCCGGCAGAGCTGGGATCCGGTGCCTCCAGAGACCACACATAGTGAGGCCAGCCGCTTCCCCAGGCCCTCGGTGGAAGAAAGAGATATTTAACTTAGATTTGGAGGACATCGTTGGTTTTGTGGACCCTTGAAGGGAAAGTGTGTCCATTTCTAACCTGGTACTTCCCAGGGGATTCCTTTTTTCAATGTCGTGATTTTTCACTCCATCCACTAACCTTAGGGTCTCACCGCCTCACAAGGTGCACTCCATTGCTCACGGGTGATTGGACTTAGATAGTTTAGGGCAGTGGTCGGCAAACTCATTAGTCAACAGAGCCAAATATCAACAGTACTTCTTCAAAATAGACTCGCCCAGGCCGAAAACCGACTTCTGTGCATGGGCCACGAAGTTTCAATCGCACTGTACGTGCTCCTGCACGTGGTATTTTGTGGAAGAACCACATTCAAGGGGCCAAAGAGCCGCATGTGGCTCGCGAGCCACAGTTTGCCGACCACGGGTTTAGGGGAATTCCGAGAGTGTAAGAGATGTAAATCATTACACTTATATCTCTCGTTCGTAACATTCAGGTCATGGAAGTATAGAAGAAAAATACTGACTCCCATAATATCGAATCTTCATGACGTGTGTGTGTGTGTGTGTGTGTGTGTGTAAATGTATAGATGCACGCACTTTTGGAAATAGGCACGTGGCCAGGTTGACTCCTTGAGATTCAGAAAGTAATCTCTGCCATGGCAATTTGCAGTTGTGCAGGCCCACCAACGCCGTATCAGCCCGTCCTTCCCTTTCTCCACTCATGCGAGCAAATACTCACTGGGTGCCAGCTAATGCCAGACATCACACTCACCACCAGGATGAAATGATCAGCAAAACACAGTGTTTGTTTTCACTGGTCTTGTGGGGGAGGAGAGACATCAATTAAGTTACATTATAGTTATTTGAGTCTAATGACAATGAGCGGAAGTAAGACGGGGCTATGAGAGCACGTACTGTAGGATTTATCCCGATCAGGAAGGTGTTGGAGGGCTTCCTGAGGGAGGTGTGTTTGCAAGACAGTTTGAAGGATGAGTAGGAGTCACGTAGGTGGAGAGAGGTAGGGAAGAGCATTTTAGGTCGAGGGAACAGTATGTGCAAAATCTGCAATATCTAAGGACTGAGCTCACATGTGTATTATATTTGAGTTCCCATCGTAGGACACATGGTATGGAATAGGAAAGAACAACCCACATGTACTATATAAGACTTGGAAGCCCACAGGAGAATAACAGCTGTTGACTACAGCATCTGCCGTGTCACATAGTCAGCACGGGCACACGCTTTAATTAATATTCTAAAGAGAAAAATTGCAAAGCCAGAAGGGTGGCGCCGTTTGTAATAAAAACCCTTTGAAAAATTAACTGCGTGTGAAATTAGGCAATCGCTTCCAAACACGATTTTTTCTGAACTCAGAGTTTTTATTTATTTTTTTTAGACTTGAGCAGTTTCAACAATCAGCTATCATTGAAGGCAGCGGGAGTTCACCGCCGGGTGAACATTGATCTCATTCCATTGATCTTTGCATTGAGATTATTCTGTCAATTCTGTGGCCTGTTTGAGATAATTAATTTGCTTCAGACAGCGTGTAGAGCACCTTAAAGGCTTCGTCGATACAGCGCTTGCAATCAGAATAGAATACTGTGGTTCCGAGGGTGACTCATAGGATTGGCGGCCAATCGTTTCCCGACCAGGCTTGAGACGGCCGGGTCTGTAGCCAGAATGAGAGGCTGTGCCACGCGGGCGCCTCGTTGTGAGGGTGGGCGCTGTGTTTGTGTCACAGCGTGACGGCCGCCCGGGCACGGCATGTGGCCTGTGTTTAGTTATTGAGACGGATAAGCTGCATCGACAGTCACAAGGCCCACTTAGAACAGTCCCGGAAGAAGTCACTGGGAGACTCCCTAGGGAAGGAAATGAGCTGCCACCCTAATCTGCTCCTTTCTCACACATCCTTCTGCGATGAGTCCAGGATACAAACCGTTGTGCCCTCCCTGCCGTTGGGGCTTTGACGTCACTGTCATTCATTAGAGTACACAGCGATGTGTATCAGACGCTTGGAACAGGAAATCCTTTGGCCTCAGGGACAGGCAAAGGCGACCGTCACTCACGGCCATGTATTGTTTCTGCACTGGGCTGACAGTGTTGCTTCTGGCTTTTCCTGGAATGAATCTAGGGAGTGAGTTTATTTAAAAACCTTTCTGCAAACAGCGAGGGCAGACGTGTTTATTATCGCAGATGCCCCCGTAGCTAGAGGGAATGCGTGCTCTTCCCTGGCTTTGTGGTCATCGGTGGTGACATCGAATGCTCTGGGTATTCTTTCAGATGAGCATTTTGCCACCATGGTAGGAAAGGACAGTGTCTATCTGTGAATTCTGTGAACATTGTTTCACATTAACCTTTTGCCGGACAGTGAATCACATTTTAAAAATGAGAATCTAAGGGCAAATTTTTTGTTTCTGTAATATCTTATAATATTTTAAGTAGGTTTTCAGAAAACCCATTTAAAGTTTATTTTTAAAAGAATATGAATCTTTTCAGCCTTCTTTAACTCACTTTGGGTGAGTCTCCCTTAGCAGGAAGGGTCATCGTGTCTTTGGGGGCGGTACAGCACACAAGGCCATGGGGTCCATTTGAGGGGAGGCCATGACCTATGGGGTCTGGCTGTCTCAGCTGCAGACTGTACTCCCTTGCTGCTCACCACTCCACAGTCCAGGGTTGTGCGTGGTGAAAGCAGGACGCGGTAGTGACCAGCCGTCAGTAGCTTGGCTGGTTTGCTGTTGCCCCGCCGGTCAACCTGGGGGTGATGAGTCGGAGAGGTGGCACACAGTGTAATAAAGCATACGTACTCACCGAGAGCCAGCCCAGTGTCATCAAGGAGTTGGTTTGATGGGCAGAATGTAAAAAGATACCTGGATGGGACCCAAGGATACTGCAAATGACATGATCAGGAAGCAGCTAAGTGTCACACAAAATAGTTTTGACTACGTTACAGGAAGTGGAGAAGGAAGTAGAAATTGATATTTCAGAATTGGCATGGAATTCATTTCCAGTGGTTCTCAACCTTCCCAATGCCACGACCCTTTAATACAGTTCCTCATGTTGTGGTGACCCCCAACCATAAAATTATTTTCATTGCTACTTGATAACTGTAATTTTGCTACTGTTATGAATCGTAATGTAAATATCTGATATGCAGGATGTATTTTCATTGTTTGCGACCAACAGGTTGAGAATATAAGGGCAAATTTTAGACGTTTTTCCGGCTTTTCTTGGATTAGTGAAAGTTTTATTTGTTGATGGCATAAGATTTTTAAAGGAGTGTGGGGAGTGTTCCAAAGATAAAAGATGGAAGGGTGTAATATAAACTAATGTGGTTTCACTTTTCCAACTATTCAACATATATTCTGCCTTCAGCCTCTTACAGTATTGCAGCTTTTTTTTTTTTTGCTTTTTCTTTTTAGAAAACTATGAAATTTTGTTTCCTAGTATGCCAGAACTTGAGCACTAATTGTACATAAATTGAGGGAAAGGCTAAATCTGCTATGTGGTCTATAAATGATTGGTTTCAATGAGATAATTTACTCGAAAGCTTTTAGGAAAAGCTTTACAGCACAGTGATTAGTACAGTAGCATTGAGAATGCCTATTACCACTAATCATAGCAGCATGTGCCATCTACCTGTAGCTCAGTATTATAGGAGCCTCCAAAGGGATGGGACATCCACGTGGCCACTCAAAAATATTTGGCAAGAGAGCATCATTCTACATATGTATGGATGAGTCTGGTATAAATCACGTGTTTAGTTTATTCTAGGGTTTTCTAAAAAGTCTGAAGGAATTTGATGTTTGATTTTTTTTTAACTTAAGGAATGTTTTCATATAGTAATAGCAATATAAGTACATTTACTGTCTATCAACTATCTTCTTAGCAAAGAACTAAAAGGACATAAAGTAAGTTGATTCATATCCCAGCTAATTTAGAAGCTGCTACCAGTCTCATTTCGGGTAAAGATGAAGTTAGGTGTGATCTTTCTCTCATCTCTGAGAATCTGCATTGTGTCTCAATTCCAAGCCTTGCAGCTTATGAGAAGGCATATACTACATGCATGTTTGGTACGAACATCATCACATTGGCAAACATACGTGATTCCCCAGGACGGCTGAGCAGCCTAGACCCTGTGAAGCTTCACACGCGTGTTTTTTGTCTGCAGATGGGGGCAGAAGGAGGTGCTTCTGGAAGCCCGCATTCCCGGAAGCTCGTCAGCTTCACGCTGTCCGGTAAGGCTGCCTTTCATTGGCGCGATGTCCAGCTTGAAAGTCTGCGATTTTAAGGGCACCAATAGTCCTTTCTTTCACAGATTCTCATATGTTATAGGTGGACTAGTTAGTTATTGATCTGGGGGGTCATACTTCTGAAATTCAAGTATATCTTTTACCAGGATAAAAGTAGATCATTGATATAAACTCAGAAGTTATTTCTTCTAATGAGTTTTCTGGTGGGAAAAAGGCTGTAACTGTGTATAGTTACTTTAAAAAAAATCTGTAATGTCATGTGTTAACCACACATGAGGACGTTGGTTATTGAAGATGATTTGTGCTTACCTCATCTAGAGAAAGGGAAATGTGGAAACGAGTGGGGGGTGAAGCTGGGGGAACCCCAATGTCTGTGGAGGAATACACATAAAAATAGAAAGTGGGCATAACAATTTGTTTTGTTGTTTTCTGCTTGCTGCAATATTTTAATTGCTTGTTTGTGTATCATAAAACGAAAGACCTGGTTGTGATTGGGAACTCATTTGTGGTTTACAAGGTTTATGTCATTGAAACTGGCAATTTAAAAAAGCATAGAAAAAAAATCAGTTTACCACCAAAGGGAAATATTTTTTTCATAGAACATCAGTTTATACAAACTGAAAAACATTCACACAAGAAAATAAAAACACCTCTGTATGTGTATGTGGGTTTCATGGTCACATGTTACCTCATATGTAGGGGACTCAAAAAGTTTGAAAGCCTTTGATTTTTAAAAAGTTAATGGGCAGTCATAAAGTCAAGAATTTACTAAGAAAGTCAGTATTTGAAATGGACTTTCAAAGTCGACGACTGTGCTACAATACATCCAAAATAAAGTCTGACAGATGTCTATCACTTCAGATGCTTTGCTTTCATTTTCCATCTGTGTTGTGCTTCTCAAATTTAATTCAGTTTACTTTCTTAGCTTCAAAAAAAAATTTGCATGAAAATATATGTTCTCGCAAGTGAGAGTCAGCAGGCCGATCTCGAAAACAGACGTGGCAGTGGTGCACCCTCGTCGCATCTGACTGAAGGGCGCACGGAAGTCGCTGATGGCTGCCATGGCCTGCGGGGACCATGTCCGTCCTAGCAGAGGAGGCACTTCCTGGGAAAGCTTGCTTGGTTTTGTTTCCTGGCGGGTCTCGGCGGTGATGAACTAATGACTGATGGCTCAGACGTGGCTGGTGCATATGTTTTGGTTGGAACCCTTAGCGTTTACACGTGTCTAGGTTTTCAGCAGGGCACGTAGGTGCACCACTGCCTGTGACACTCCCCTGTCCCTTCATCTGTCTGTCTCTTGAGAACATGGCAGGTGGCGACTGTACCTTAGACCTCACAGTCCCGAAGGGCTGCAGGTGCACAAGTCCTTTCGTTATCGGTGGGGAGCATGAGCCAGCCTGCGTGGCTCAGGACATTTAGGTTGACCACACCGTGGTTTTCTTAGTGTAGAAGCATCGCCCTGTGCTTCCAAGTGATCAATATCATTCTGAATAGGATACGCACAGCCCAGGTGGCGTGGCTCAGTGGTTGAGCGTCGACCTATGAATCAGGAGGTCACAGTTCGATTCCCGGTCAAGGACACATGCCTGGGTTTCAGGCTCAATCTCCAGTAGGGGGCGTGCAGAAGGCAGCTGATCAATGATTCTCTCTAATCATTGATGTTTCTATCTCTCTCTCCTCCCTTCCTTTCTGAAATCAATAAAAATATTTAAAAAATGATACACACATATTGATTTTGACTGCAGAGGGGTGCTAATTGACTCACTACGGGAGAATGAGCATCTAGAACAGCGGTTCTCAACCTGTGGGTCGCGACCCCTTTTGCGGTCGAACGACCCTTTCACAGGGGTCGCCTAAGACCATCCTGCATATCAGATACTTACATTATGATTCATAACAGTAGCAACATTACAGTTATGAAGTAGCCACGAAAATAATTTTATGGTTGGGGGTCACAACATGAGGAACTGTATTTAAAGGGCCAGAAGGTTGAGAACCACTGATCTAGAACATGAAAATCCCAGGACATTTTCCTAAGAAGTAGGGGCACAGCCAGATGTTTCTTCTTTAAACGCAACTTCTTCTAATGTCCCACCTCAATACACATGGCGGCTGGCTAACCTTATGTCCTGTTTCCTACCATGTGGTCAGATATGTGCAGGTGGTAGACAGAAGTGGCTAAAACGATAGAACATGAAAACAAGTCTCTAATTCTGAACAAATTAATCTGGTGGTAGCATATTGACAGTGAGTGACGACATTTATCCAAGAGCATTTGAGCCCTGTGGAGTGGCTGCCTGCAAACGCTCTACTCTTGATTATCTATGGATAAGTAGGGATACAAATAATTGAACTCCACAGCAAAAAACAAAAACTGTGTTTTCCCTGGCTGAGTTGGTTGGGGCATCATCGCATACACCAAAAGGTCGTGGGTTTGATTCCCAGTCAAGGCATATACCCAGGTTGCGGGTTTGATCCCCGGACAGTGCATGTGTGGGAGACAACCAATTGATGTTTCTCTCTCTCTCTCTCTCTCTCTCTCTCTCTCTCTCTCTCTCTCTCTCTCTCTCTCTCTCTCTCTCTCTCTCTTCCCTTCTCTCTTAAAAAAAAATCACAACAAAACAAAAAAGAAACACCAACGTGCCAAAAACAAAACAACTGTGTTTTGATTAATATTTTAAACCTCTTCTCCAAATAAAGCTGTAAACCAGGATATCTACCATGTCATACCTTTGTGACTTTGAGTCCTTCATTGGTCTATTAGGTGATGCAGATATTTATGAGCAATAAGGGATATAAAAGGCAAAGGGGAGAAAAAAGAGCAGAGATGTGACGGGTGAAGGAAACTGGGTAATCAGACCACACATAACTGGTAGTTGGTTGTATTTCTTAATGAAGGTTTATTTGTACAATGTCCCTGGTGGAAAACTGGTATGAGGGTTAACAGTGACTTCTTTCATCACAGTGGCTTCATCTTCTGGGGAAATTCTTTGTGTTCAAAGGAATGTTTTGCATAAAAGATTTATTAGCTCTGCCAGACTGTGTGGCAGCCATTTCTGTACATGTTATTCCTCACTTATTGCAAAGAAGTCGATTTACTATCTAAAGAATGTTATTTTTCTGTCTTTGAGTCCGAGGCGAGCATAAACAAGAAAGGTAAGAAAATAAGTCTGTAAATTGCATTTTCTCTCTCAAGGCTGGCTATTTTATGCCAAAGTAAGCCCAGTAAAACACGCAGCGTTATTAAACGGGTAATGAAGTGCAAGCTCACTGGGGAGGGCCAGGGATGGGAGCGGTCAGGCTCCCGAGGGGACAGCAGCGTCGCTCCCGCCGGTTCTCAGGTCAGTGATCTCACTCTGTTTCCTGCACGCTCTTAACATCAGGTCCTGTTGGTTGAATGTTTCAATCTTTGCCAACATATTAAAATAAATTTTTCTTTTGTGTGTGTGTATATTTTTTAAATTATTTTTTGGAGAGGAAGGGAGAGGGAAAGAGAGCTAGAAACATCAGTGATGAAGAGAATCATTCATTGGCTGCCTCTTGCACGCCCCACCCTGGGGATTGAGCCTGAAACCCAGGTACGTGCCCTTGACCAGGAATCAAACCTAGGACCCTTCGGTCCACAAGCCGACGCTCTAGCCACTAGGACAAACCGGCGAGGGCTTTGCCAACATATTAAACTGCCTCCCTCTACTGCCAGTTGTGTGTCATCAGACTCTCCCGGTCTGTTTTCATGGCACAGACGTCTAGACCCCAAGTTCCTGCTGGTAGATGAGGGCATGAGCTTCCTGTAGAGAGCAGGGTTCTCTGGGCAGCCCCCGGCCAGTTCTGTCCTTCGAAGAAAGACTTTGTGTTTCAGAAATGGGATTGAGTAGGAAGACCGTGGAGACAATTTAGGGTCACATGACAGGGTCTCTTCCCCAGCCGGTCTGGGTAACCCGGAGGCCTTTGGAGGTTCATGGGCCACCTGCAGGTTTCTATCTGCACCAGTGGGCGGGGCCTCCTAGCCTAAGCATCACTGCCTGAGGCGACCTGGAAACAGTCCGTTCTTCCAGACACTTCAAGATCCCTTGGTTCTCAGGCCGACCCTAGTCACACAGATACTCTCAGAAAGGTGTAGGGGGCCCAGAGAAGCAGCTTCATTTCCTGACATGTGTGTATCCCTAAGCCTGGCCTTTAAAAAAAAAAGTGTCATTCTCTTCACAAACCAGACTTTAGCCAGAACTTTTAGCAGCTCGCATAGTGAAATCACAGCTGCTGCGGAAGATGAGACATGGGACATTCGTTCAATATTTAAGTGACTTAGGCTATTGAGGGAGTAACCTCACAGTTATTTAATCCAGTCGGTAGCATTCAACTTTCAGAAATATTTCTGGTCTCCCCGCTTCCCTATCATTCATGGCATTTGTGGAAGATATGCGACATGGTGAATGTGTGCAGCTGAATGTGTGCTCTGCAGTGTCTGCCCCAGTTAAACATCGGTCAGTGCGTTTCCTGTATGTATGTCGAAGATTCATGTTTCTCTCATGAAGGGACCTATTGGTGTTTCTTTTTTTTTAAATAAACAGTTTACTGAGGATTTCTCTCAAGACATGGTAATGCTGGTTACCAACCCACATACACATTAGCATCTAGGTGTGTGAGGTGGGGGTAAAGTTTGGTCTCACTTTTGCAGCCTGCTAGGAGGCCTCTCTGCTGGGATGAGTCACGACCCACCTGAACTCACTTACCTACGCGGTCGCAGTATGAATAACTGTGCTATCGTTTCACCAGATTGTTTCTGTTTAGCGCTGCCTGCCTGATTATTTAAGAACAATTGTCATTGAGCCACTTGTCCTTCTGTCTCTTTTCCTCTGCCCTTCTCTTCCCTTCTTCCCTCCTCTCCTCCTCTTTCTTTAAAGATCTCAGAGCTGTCGGGCTAAAGAAAGGGATGTTCTTCAACCCGGACCCTTACCTGAAGATGTCCATCCGGCCGGGGAAGAAGAGCAGCTTCCCCACCTGTGCCCACCACGGGCAGGAGCGGAGGTCCACCATCATCAGCAACACCACCAACCCCATTTGGCACCGAGAGGTGAGGTGGTCCCCAGGGTCTGAGACGTGACCGAGGAGGAGGTGGCCAACTCCAGCCCTTTCCTCCGGACTCTGTGTAGCATTGAGCTGTGTACGGTGTGAGCAGGAGGTGTCTAGGGGGCCTGTTGGAAAGAGGGCCCAGTGAGAATGAGATATTCCCTCTAGTCGGGGCTGGTCTAGGATAAGGCAAGGGAAGCACCTCTGGTGCACAGTTTATGGTAAAGGATGCCAAAAGACTCAAAAATCAAAAGAAATACTTTAATGCAGTGTGTGTGTGTGTGTGTGTGTGTGTGTGTGTGTGTGTAGCTTTTGAAAATATATTCTTATTGATTTCAGAGAGGAAGGGACAAGGGAGAGAGAAATAGAAACATCAGCGATGAGAGAATCTTTGATCGGCTGCCTCCTGCACGCCCCACATTGGGGATCGAGTCCACAGCTCAGACATGTGCCCTGACTGGGAATCAAACCACCACTTCCTGGTTCATGGGTCGACGCTCAATGCCACGCCAGCTGGGCTGCAATATATTTTTTAAAAAGGCAAAATCAATGCAAACAAATGATGAGCACAAAGTGTCAACATGTGGAGACAGGACAGGCCCAGCAGCATTGTCTAGCAGTCATGTTGGACCTTGAGGCAGAAGGAGAAATCAGGGAGATTGATGGTTTTTATTTAAAACGTTGGTGTTTTGTTCTAGCATATATTCAGTGCAAATTAAAGGAGTTTCCCCGCCTGCAGGCCTTGGCGCATGTGTCTGGGATTTCTTGATCTCGGGAAATTCAATGCGCTACGCAGAGAGTGAAGCCAGATTGTGTTGGTGGTCCTTAGGCTCCCTCCCAGCTCCCTTATGCTTCCAGTCGGCTCGGTGCCGCGTGTCAGGGAAGTCCGGCGAGGGGCTCTCCTTAGAACTACAGAAAACCCCGAGAACGAACAGAGACCCCGTTTCTCCTCGAGTGAGGACAGCCGTTTCTTTGGGATCAAGACATTTCCAGTACTAGATAGTGTTTCTGGGTAAACCTTTGTTGGCATAGGAATCACACCGATAATTAAAACATTCCCTAACTGTTTATGGACAACCATGTTCTGACACTGTTGTGGAAGTATTTCATTGGAGAGGGAGATAACTCAGGGGACCTATAACCACGTGGAGAAAAGATATGGCTCTTAGGAGGTCTTAGGTTATTTAAACAGATAAAAGCATGCTTTCTTATTCCTGGTTTTAAAAACAAGTACTTACTATCTCCAAAATAGTAAATAACTTGTAAAGGCAGACCACCGAAGTTCAACACGTTAGAAGCCTAGAAAACATAAAATTTATCTCAACACGAGCGCTAGCAGGCACAGAGTGCAATAATTAGCAATCACTTTATTTTCCTCACATTTGATATTGACAAAGTTCTTACCGACGTGGCCAGTGCAAGCCTGAGGAGGGGGGTGTAAATATTTACTTGAATATTTACCGAGGAAACCAGGGTATTCTGTAGATGTTTCTACTTTAGTAGGGGTATTTGAACCCATGTTGGGCAACTTCTCCATAACATGGGATCAGGAATGAAAATTGTTGTTAACCAAATATATCGGTTCATTCTAAACCAGTGATGGCGAACCTATGACACGGGTGTCAGAGGTGACACGCGAACTCATTCTTTTGGTTGATTTTTCTTTGTTAAATGGCATTTAAATATATAAAATAAATATCAAAAATATAAGTCTTTGTTTTACTATGGTTGCAAATATTAAAAAATTTCTATATGTGACACGGCACCAGAGTTAAGTTAGGGTTTTTCAAAATGCTGACACGCCGAGCTCAAAAGGTTCGCCATCACTGTTCTAAACCATCCTATACCAGCATGTTAAATTTCAAAGAATTAAGATACAATAAATATCTGAATACTAAAATTGTATTGTGCACAATTTAATATTTGGTAACATCTCCTAAAACTGTTGAAGCAGGAAAGGATGTAGTAAGGGAAGGGGCTCCCTTTGTCATACAGATCCCTAGGTTGTTGGGTTTGTTTTTTTAAAAATATATTTTTATTGATTTCAGAGAGGAAGGGAAAGGGATAGAGAGACAGAAACATCAATGATGAGAGAGAATCATCGATAGGCTGCCTCCTGCACACCCCCCACTGGGGACCAAGCCTGCAACCCAGGCATGTGCCCTGACCTGGAATCGAACTGTAACCTCCTGGTTCATAGGTTGATGCTCAACCACTGAGCCACTCCAGCTGGGCAGCTGTTGGTTTTGAATCATTGTGCATGTTAATGAGTCTGAGTGAATAAAAGATTGACAACAGCTGTAGCTCTTTCTAGCAATGTGGACTCTGTACGTCATTAAGATTTAAAAGCGATGACATTTTCTATCATAATAAATGATGTAATTTCCTGTTTGTCTTTTTCTGAATCGGCCTGTTATCTGTTTTTATTTTCAGAAATATTCCTTTTTTGCACTTCTTACCGATGTCTTAGAAATTGAAATTAAAGACAAATTTGCCAAGAGCCGTCCTATCATCAAGCGTTTCCTGGGGAAGCTGACCATCCCCGTGCAGCGGCTGCTGGAGCGCCAGGCCATCGGGTAACCAGCTCCCCCCCCAACTCCCCAACGCCTCCGGGTGGGCCTTTGGGGGGGGGGGAGGGTTGCACAGAAGCAGCTGAAATGTTGCTTTCCTTTCCAGCCCTAGGCCTTTGCTCACTGATAAGAAGTGATAACACATCTCTTTTATAAGTGGAAATGCTCCTACGTGAAAACGTGCAGGGCGAAGCACTTTGATTTAGTGATGCACCATTTGGGGGTGTCTGTCTTTTCCAAGGTGGCCTGCCGCGAGCATTTCTGCACTCCATCAGTGCTCAGCTGGGTGGAGTCTTTTGGAATCTCGCTATAAAGGCCTCTCCCCAAGTCAGGATCCTGGTGTCGAGTGGACACCTTCCTGTCCGGGGTGATCCCATCTGGGGAACTGGTTGACGGTGGGACTCCTAGACATATACATTCACCCAGGCAGCTGTCATTTACGTGTGCTGTCTGTGAGCCTTCTGTAAGTGTGAATAACGTAGGTCAGAAATCATAACACGCCTCCACCCCTTGTTACAAATGGCCTGTCGATGTGTACAGGGCGAGGACCAGTAACGCGGTGACACTGGCGCCTGAGGCAGCACTCGGACCCTGGTCATTGTAAGAGAACGTGCTGAACATGTGGCGGTTGCAGTAGTCGTAGCAGTAGTAAGAGGAGTAATAGTAGTGAGAGAAGTAAGAGTAGTAAGAGGAGTAAGCGTAGGAAGAGTAGGGACAGCGGCCATGTCAGTGTTGGCAGCATTAGTGGTTGTGCTGTCCCAGCAGAACTCGTCCCAGCAGAACTAGTGAACAAAAGAGGTGCCGAGACCCGCTCTGTGGCAGGAGTTGAGCAGGTGACACGCATTAGCTCATGGCACCCGCTCAACAGCTCTGGGAGGTGAGGAATGTGATCACACCCATTTCACAGATGAGGAAGGAGAGGCTCGCCAGCAGGTGGCGGAGCTGGGAGCTGAGTGCGGGTCAGTCTACAGCCCCGTGAGGACCGGCCGGAGCATCCTCTGGTCCAGCGGCCTGAGGGAGGCGGGCACCGTGTCCCCCTGCAGCTGACTCACGGGGCTGGCACCACCGCTCCCGTGGGCGTTGTCTTTCTCTCCTGACGAATAAGGCGTTTAGGCCAGGTCATCTCTAAGACGCCGTAGAAATCAGAAACTAAGAGATTGCAGTGGATTCTAGTTCTCTGGCCCTCAGAGGTGATGGAGTTTGGGGGTGAGCCAGCCCACAGGAAGTATAAATCACACTGAAATTCTAGCAGCTGGTTTATCAGATACAAGCTGGGAGATGCGCTATTTTTTTTTAATGTGTTATTTTTAAGGATAACATTGATTGCTGCTAGTGGAGATAATGTACTTTGGGAAGTTTTTAAAATTATTTTTAGGGTTTATAGAAAGTGAGTGATTATAAAGCGTGAGAATAACTATGGGAAATGTAGCTACCATTTCATTTATATAATTATATAATTTACATAATAAAAGGTGTAATTAACAAATGAGACTCTACTTATGGCAGAAGTGTTTGTTGACATATGTCAGTCAGAATGCTCAAGGAAAGATAAAAAAACCTTGTCAGTGTGTGAAACTTGTTGACTTGCCGGCTTTTCATTTAGTCTTCTTCTTTTTTTTTTGATTGATTTCAGAGAGGGAGGGAGAGAGAGAGATCAATGCTGAGAATCATTGATTGGCTGCCTCCTGCACGCCCCCTCCTGGGGACTGAGCCCGCAACCCAAGCATGTGCTCTGACCAGGAAAGGAACCATGACCTCCTGGTTCATAGGTCGACGCTCAGTCACTGAGCCACACAGCTGGGCTCATGTAGTCTTTGGAAGATCGTGGAGTCCACGTGTGCCGGAGGGAGGTCCAGCATGAATGGACAGCAGAGCAGAATTACGAAATATTTCTGTACACGAACAGTGAGAGCATTGCCTGATACGGAGGCCCAGGGATTGGCTTCATTAAGTAAGAATGACATGGACTACAGATTGGTAGGCCAGATGTTAGCTTCGAAATACATGTTTCTGATCGGATTATTGCTTCCCATCTGGTAATCGCTACTTGTTGAAAAATGCCGGGTCTCCATTACTCTGTGTGGGAGGCCGAGACGGTCGGACACAGTGAGGGTTCCCAGGGGGCGGTGCAGGGTGAGCTGGGGGCTCCTCGAGATTCACCTGCTTTGGGTGCCTTTGCGTGAAGCCGGCCGTTTTCAGGGAGGGCGTCCCTGCCTCTGTCCGGGCGCGTCACGTCCAGGCCGCGTCATTGCTGCGATGCCATCGGTGAGGAACGCTCCGGGCAGGTAGTGAGAGCTCCTGGGCACTCATTCCCTATAATTATAGGGCATGCTAGTGTACATACACCGTTCACAGTGATGTGTCCCGCCAGAGGCAGGATGAGTCAGATGGGACGTGGTGAGAGCAGGGCCGGGCTTCCGTGTTAGGTGAATCCCTGTTCTGACCCTGGCTCTGTTCCTACCTCGTGTCTGGCCGGGGGCAGGCTGCTTCTCCTCCCTGTGCCGTCGCCTCTAGCCAACAGGGCCTCCCCCAGAGCATGCTGGGAGGGGTAAAGAGCAGAAGCAGGCAGAGCCCCCAGCGGAGTGTGAGTGACACACGGGGAGACTCAGTTTGGGGAAACAAAGCAGTTTAGAAGCACCAGTCAAGACAAGAAAAATCCTCGCCACATTTCTAGGGAAGAAAAAGAGAAAGGTGAAGGGTATAGTATTGTTTTATGAGATTCTTGCTATGGAGCCAGAGAACTTCACGGGAGCTGGACTGGGATTGCACGTTGATTAGCACGCGCTCCCTACACAGACAGCAGCTCCTTAGCACTGTGCTGAGGAGGCAGAGAAGCACAAACAGGGATGCAGATGAACCCTAAACCGCCTGCTGGGGCCCTGCGCTGCGCTGCCATCGGGGAGAGGCGCGGTGTGTCCTCCTGCAGCTGCCAGCAGAGGGCAGTGTGAGAGCGGAGATGGAGTGGTTGGGGGCCAGGCCATGGTTACTTTCCTTATTAAATGTAGGTCAGACACGGAATGAAAGTGGCTTGCATACCAAGAAATGATGTAATTGCAGTTGACGTTGATAAATAGACACGGAATTGAAAAGGCAGACAGTTCCATCCCAGAGGAGGCTGGGAGCCTGAGCCAGGAGCCGAGGTGGGGCAGAACCTGGGCCTGCCCACATGCGGTCCCCTCAGCATGCCTGCCAGGGCAGCAGCGAGACGCACCCCAGGGGCACATCCAGCTTCTCCAACTCCCCTTACTGTGCAGGTGGTCGGGGAGGGTCAGCGCCCGGCCCTCACTCAGTGGGAGCAGCTGTCAGGGCATGGCTGCCACCTCCTATCCCCCAGCTCCCATTCTTCAGAACACGGTGCCCCCCAGGACCGCGTGCGTGCGAGAGCCCTGGCCTGCGGGTCCTTCCAGAACCAGCTTCCTGACGTGCTCAGTGCCAAGGAGCCAGGCCCACTGTGCCTGCACCTGAGCCCAGAAATCCCCTCATTTCAGGCCTTTCACAGCTCCTCCATGATTCTCAAAGTGCCCTCTCCCTGGGAACCCTTCACAGTGAGAGCGTGAATCAGTGGACTTAAAAACACACACACACGCTGTATTGCATTTTCTGCTTTTACTCATAATTTTCCTTCTAACAAGATTTCCTTTTTTTTTAAATGTATTTTTATTGATTTCAGAGAGGAAGGGACAGGGAGAGAGAGATAGAAACATTAATGATGAGAGAGAATCATTGATCGGCTGCCTCCTGCATGCCCCACAGAGGGGATTGAGCCCACAACCCAGGCATGTGCCCTGACCAGGAATCAACTGTGACCTCCTGGTTCATAGGTCAGTGCTCAACCACTGGGCCACGCCAGTTGGGCTGACCAGATTTCTTTTTATCTAAGTATTCCCTTGTTCGAGTGAATAGTATTACACTGGACTCAAACGTGCCTTTGAGACTTTTATTTTCTTGCTAGGCCTGATGCACGAAATTTGTGCAATGGGCTCATCCCTCGCAGCCTGGGCTGCCTTGTCTAAAAGGTCGTCTGGATGGTCGTTCTGCTGTTCGGTCTAATTAGCATATTAGCTCTTTATTATATAGGATGAGTCTGTAAGTGTTAAGTATATGGGATTCGGGGCGGGGTAGGGGGTTGTGGGAAGAAGACGAAGGCTGGCACCAGTGTAGAAGGACGAAAACCCTTTCTCCTCTGCAGCGACCAGATGCTGAGCTACAACCTCGGCAGAAGGCTGCCCGCCGACCACGTGAGCGGGTACCTCCAGTTTAAAGTGGAGGTGACGTCCTCCCTGCATGAAGGTGAGATGCCGGGATAAGTCCGTCCCTGTGGGAAAACGCATTGCGTCTTCGTTGTCAGTTTGCATGTGCATAGGATCCAATGGGTGCCCTGTTCTGAAAACAAAAACAGTGACCCAGTGATGACCTGGAGAAGGTCACGCAGCACCGAAGATCCTGCTTATCAGAAACGTCTCTCAGGTTGTACACCTGCATGTGGGCGCCGGGCGGTCACCTTTGCGCAGTAGTGAACGTGTACACCTCATACGTCAGAGTGACCGGCAACAGGCCGTTCCCGGTGAGGCGTGAGTCTTAGCGAGTCGGCGATGCTGGGAAGAGGGCTCAGGGGGAGGACTGCATCCATGAACTGATGGTTGACGAAGGGATAGGGCATGAAAAGTTAATTTGCGAGAGGGCTGGTTTTGATGAACGCTGCTTTCTCCTTCAGATGCCTCCCCGGAAGCCGTGGGCACCATGCTCGGGGTCGGCTCTGTGAACGGAGACCTGGGCAGCCCTTCGGACGAGGAGGAGATGGCCGGGGCCCACCCCGACGGCCCGGCCTGCTCCAACGGGCCCGTGTCCGAGGAGAGTGCCGAGGGGACTCCCAAGCACTCCTGCAGGACTAGCTCCACCCTGGACATGGACGGGGAGGATCTGACCTCCATGTCCTCAAGGAACTCGCCGCCCCGCGGACGCCAGGACTCACTCAACGATTACCTGGATGCCGTGGAACACCACGGCCCCGCCAGGCCGGGCCCCGCGCCCTGCGCCGAGCGGCCCAGGGGGGCCTCTCCGAAGCTGAGGAGCAGCTTCCCCACCGACACAAGGCTCAGCGCCATGCTCCACATCGACTCCGACGAGGAGGACCACGAGCTGCAGCCCGGCCTGGGCTCCCCGTCGTCCCTGGAGGAGGAGGGGGGCCTGATCATGTTCGGCGGGCCAGCGAGGACTGACGACGGGAGCCTGTCCTCTCAGACGAAGCAGGAAGACGCCCCGCTGGAGACCGAGGAGGCCCCCACGCACGATGCCGCTTCCTTGGAGGGGAAGCCGGAGGGTCTCCCCGAGGAGCTGGCCGAGGGCTCCTCCCCAGCAGGCCCCGCCCCAGGGGACAGCGAAGAGGGTCCAGAGTCTCCAGCCGGCGCCGACCAGGACCAGGACCAGGACCAGGACCAGGACCAGGACCAGGACCAGGATGGCACTGAGCCCTGTGGCTCCCAAGAGGTGGACCCGCCCACGAGTGGGGCAGACACGGGCACCCCGGACACGTCGGGAGGGAGCCGGAGGGCCACCAGTGAGACCGAGTCCCTTGACCAGGGCTCGGAGCCCTCCCAGGTGTCCTCCGAGACGGAACCCAGCGACCCCGCCCGGACCGAGAGCGTGAGCGAGGCCAGCACCAGGCCCGAGGGCGAGAGCGACCTGGACGGCGCGGACAGCTCCTGCAACGAGAGCGTCACCACGCAGCTGTCCTCGGTGGAGACGCGGTGCTCCTCTCTCGAGAGTGCCCGGTTCCCGGAGACCCCGGCCTTCTCTTCCCAGGAGGAGGAGGAGGACAGGGCCTGTGCGGGGGAGCCCCCCAGCGGCGGCCCCGCCCGGGGGGCGCAGGAGGCCACGTGCGCCCCTGGGTCCCTGCCCGCGGTGCACATGCCCAGCGCCGAGGAGGAGGGGCCCGGGGCAGAGGCGGCCACCTTCCCTGACCAGGACGAGGGCGGGGAGGTCTGGCAGCGGAGGGGCAGCCTCGAGGGAGCGGCGGCCACTGTGGAGAGCCAGCCCCAGGAAGAGGGTGACGCCGGCAGCGATGCCCAGGCAGCTGGTGAAGGGGCCGCTGCCCAGGAGGAGGGCGCCACTGGAGGTAGGCGGTGGGGGACAGCGTGGCGCTTGGCTCAAGCAGCCTGCCCAAAGAGGCGTGTGATGGTTTTGTCCCTGAATGCAAGTTATGCTGCAGGCTGACTGTGGCCTGAATGCTTCACCCCGGGGCTCAGTGGTTAGCGTTGTTATTATTTTTCAATGGACCTTTTATGCTGAGATAAGAGGCCTGTCAAAGAAGTCTTGAGACTTCGATGATGGATCTTGAGGCTCCGCATCAGGAATACGTTATGGGGACCTGCTCTCCCCAGGAGGATGGCCCATGGGTGGGGGGTGCTGGGGGCTCCCCATCCACACAGGACAGGCCTGGAGGGCCTAGATGCCCGAGGGCAGGTGCGTAGGTGTGAACTGCACAGGCACACACATGCTCAGCAACGAGGCCCTTGTCTGGGCAGCATAAGAGCAAAACCAAGTGTCCTAATGCATTTCTGGTAGGACCGGAGTTTGTAGATACAAAACCACGCAGGCCGGGCGGCAGCTTCAAGGTCAGTGTGACCCGCGGGGGTTTTCAGGGACCCGAAGGTTCACCTGCTCGCGTGAGACTTTCAAAGGAGAAAGGAGTGTGGGCTTGGCATCAGGTGTAATGTTTTTGCCGTGTCTCTGAGTGTCTGGGGGGTGCAAATGCACACATAAAAATTGTATTGTGTGTCAACGAATGTGGCTCAATAGGATGATTCCTTTAAAAATGTTCCATTATAGATGCACCAACAAATCAAAGGATAATTTCATCGACCTACATAGCACAGACTCAGAACTGGGAAGGGTTTTCTTATTCTGAAATTCATTTTTTAAAATATATTTTTGTTGATTTGAGAGAGAGAGAGGAAGGGAGAAGGAGAAAGAAGGAGGAGAAACAATCATCCATGGGCTGCCTCCTGCACGCCCCCTACTGGGGATCAAGTCCACAACCTGGGCATGTGCCCTGACAGGGAATCGAACTGGGACCTCTTGGTTCATGGGCCGACACTCATCACAGAGCCACACCGTCTGGGCTGTAATTTATTTTCCCAGTTAAAGTAGGCCCTTCCTTTTCTTCCTCCTCCTTCTGTTGTTTTGTTTCCTTCATTACCTTGTGGCCATATGTGTGGAAGGTGACCCTGGTGACCCTAAAGCATTAGTGCATGACCAGGATAAGCGTGGGGTGGGGAGGGGAGGGGAGGGACGGGTACAGATGGACATCTCTCAGGAACCCTTTCTGACTCAGCATTCACCTCCTGTTTTATTTCTGGGTCTTCCTATGGGCAATGAGACCCGAGAGCGAAAGGAGACCAGCCCCACGATGGATGTTAGGTTTTTACTACAATATCATACTACTGTGTTTCTAGTCTGTGTGCTAGTTTTGTTTTGTTGTTTAAGGTTGTTGGCACTGAGATGGAGCAGTACCTCGATAACTTGTACCTTTAACCCTAGGTTCTCAGGCCAACGGCCACCAGCCACTGCGCTCACTGCCTTCCGTGCGCCAGGATGTCAGCCGGTACCAGCGGGTGGACGAGGCTCTCCCACCAAGTGAGGACTGTGGGCTAAAGGGCTCCCCCTGACCAAGGGGGGCAGGGGTGACAGGACCCTGGGGGCCTGAAAGATGGATGCTCAGGCCTATGGAGAGAACAGCCTGGGGGCTGCCACCTGACGCAGCCAATGTGGTGTGGAAGGTGACCCCTGTGGAAGGTGACCCCTGTGTGGAAGGTGACCCCTGTGTGGAAGGTGACCCTGTGTGGAAGGTGACCCCTGTGGAAGGTGACCCTTGTGGAAGGTGACCCTGTGTGGAAGTCATGTGGACGCCTGTGTGAAGGTGACCCCTGTGGAAGGTGACCCTGTGTGGAAGTGACCCCTGTGGAAGGTTGACCCCTGGTGGAAGGTGACCCCTGTGTGAAGGTGACCCCTGTGGAAGGTGACCCCTGTGTGGAAGGTGACCCCTGTGGAAGGTGACCCCCGTGTGGAAGGTGACCCCTGTGAAGGTGACCCCTGTGGAAGGTGACCCCTGTGGGAATGTGACCCCTGTGTGGAAGTGACCCCTGTGTGGAAGGTGACCCCTGTGGAAGGTGACCCCTGTTGGAAGGTGACCCCTGTGGAATGTGACCCCTGTGTGGAAGGTGACCCCTGTGGAAGGTGACCCCTGTGTGAAGGTGACCCCTTGTGAAAGGTGACCCCTGTGTGGAAGGTGACCCCTGTGTGAAAGGTGACCCTGTGTGGAAGGTGACCCTGTGTGGAAGGTGACCCTGTGTGGAAGGTGACCCCTGTGTGAAAGGTGACCCCTGTGTGGAAGGTGACCTCTGTGGAAGGTGACCCTGTGTGAAAGGTGACCCTGTGTGGAAGGTGACCCCTGTGAAAGGTGACCCCTGTGTGGAAGGTGACCCCTGTGGAAGGTGACCCCTGTGTGGAAGGTGACCCCTGTGTGGAAGGTGACCCTGTGTGGAAGGTGACCCCTGTGGAAGGTGACCCCTGTGGAAGGTGACCCCTGTGTGGAATGTGACCCCTGTGTGGAAGGTGACCCTGTGTGGAAGGTGACCCCTGTGGAAGGTGACCCCTGTGGAAGGTGACCCCTGTGTGGAAGGTGACCCCCGTGGAAGGTGACCCCTGTGGAAGGTGATCCCTGTGTGGAAGGTGACCCCTGTGGAAGGTGACCCCTGTGTGGAATGTGACCCCTGTGTGGAAGGTGACCCTGTGTGGAAGGTGACCCCTGTGGAAGGTGACCCCTGTGGAAGGTGACCCCTGTGTGGAATGTGACCCCTGTGTGGAAGGTGACCCTGTGTGGAAGGTGACCCCTGTGGAAGGTGACCCCTGTGGAAGGTGACCCCTGTGTGGAAGGTGACCCCTGTGGAAGGTGACCCCTGTGGAAGGTGACCCCTGTGTGGAATGTGACCCCTGTGTGGAAGGTGACCCTGTGTGGAAGGTGACCTCTGTGGAAGGTGACCCCTGTGTGGAAGGTGACCCCTGTGGAAGGTGACCCCTGTGTGGAAGGTGACCCCTGTGGAAAGTGACCCCTGTGTGGAAGGTGACCCCTGTGGAAGGTGACCCCTGTGTTGAAGGTGACACCTGTGGAAGGTGACCCCTGTGTGGAAGGTGACCCCTGTGTGGAAGGTGACCCCTGTGTGAAAGGTGACCCCTGTGGAAGGTGACCCCTGTGTGGAAGGTGACCCCTGTGTGAAAGGTGACCCCTGTGTGAAAGGTGACCCCTGTGGAAGGTGACCCCTGTGTGAAAGGTGACCCCTGTGGCAGGTGACCCCTGTGTGGAAGGTGACCCCTGTGTGAAAGGTGACCCCTGTGGAAGGTGACCCCTGTGTGAAAGGTGACCCCTGTGTGGAAGGTGACCCCTGTGTGGAAGGTGACCCCTGTGGAAGGTGACCCCTGTGGAAGGTGACCCCTGTGGAAGGTGACCCCTGTCGAGCTCTGTGCTGTTGAATGAAGGGCAGCTGGGAAAGGGAGAGACCAGGGTCCCGGGAGTAAGTAGTGCCTCAGGGGAGGGAATCAGGAATGTTCGATGGAGGGCATGTTAGTGGGATTGTAACACATGTTTCACTGCGCGCCTATGGCAGCCTGCGTTCGCAGTTGGGGGGCAGTCTGGTTCAGTCTCTTAGGAAAAGCCTCTGTGTGGTAGACGGCTGTTTACCCACGGGCAGCGTTTTGAACCACTACGTCCAGGCGCCTGGGTTTTCTTATGCAGAGAGGTGTTCGTCATTTCGGACATTAACCATTTATTTGGAGCGTGACCGTTGTCTGGGGACTTGAAAGATATTTCGCTCCTTCCATGTTCAGGAAGCGCGTATCCCGGGAAGGCTGAGGGCTGGGGCGCTGGGAGCTAGCTCTGCACCTGAGCCACAGGTCCAGTGATGCCCACGGCCAGGCGTCCCCGGGCGTAATCTGAACACTGCACGCCCCTGGGGTTCCTGAAAGCAGTATTTCCCGCGAGAGCCAAGCGTTCTGATGAACAAAAGTGACACTCAGTAGCCACTGCTTTTGGGATCATATTGTTGGAAAAGACATTTTTCTACCGTATTGCTTTCCCTTCTTGGTCACCCTCTCTCACCCATCTTATATGTGATCCTGGCAAGAGGCGGACGCCTTTGGCCTTCTGAACTTTAAAAGTGATGGGACCTGGCGGGGGGAGGGGGGCGGGAGGTGGTTAGGGGAGTATGCCTTAAAGGCCAGCATGTGAGTGGTGAGGTCGGGGAGTGCCGGCAGAAAAGCAGGGTGGGGCTATGTCCAGTTTGTCCAAATACTGGCCCGACCGTTTGAAATTTTGCTGTGCACATCACTTGTGCGTACACCTGGATAGCTGAGGGCGGCTACTCCCAGGAAACATGTATTTTAAGCAGTTTTTAAAAATCAACCAAGAGATTAATCCTTGTGTCATCATAAGCGGGAGGGAGGGGGAGGGGGGGAGAAAGAACTCCCTTATTGTCAACCCTGGGAGAAAAGCTCAGAGGAGGAAAGAAAAGTATTCCCGGGAGATGCTTAGATCTCACGGGAGGAGAGTGAATTGGGAACACCAGGGGCGAATTCCGAGGAGCTTCGTGTAGATGCGTGTGTGGGTGCGTAGCAGGTAAACAGAGTCACGAGGCCTGGAGGGTGCACCGCCTCGCATCGCATCCTTGCGTGGATAGAGGGCGGGCCCCCGGCCGCATCCAGTTGCGCTGATTTTTGCTGGGCCATGATTTCGGCCTCTCGATTGTATTTTATAGAGACAGGTCCGTTCCTGCTGAAATGACGACCACTCTTTGTGATCTGTCAGTGCATTTGTGCACACGCTGCTCTTTTCATTTCCTAAATACATTTCAGGATTTTAAAAATAGGAGCCATTGGTAGTTCATTTGAATAAGTGGATCTATTCAGAAGTAAAAAGGCAGTGCAGTAGTGTATCCGATTTAATGAGTGACCGATGAATGGGAGGAAAATTCGTGAGAGTTGTTTCCTTGAGTTCACCTTGCAAAAATGGAGGGGGGTGGTGATGTGATACTGGACAAGTTAATAGATTGAGGCCTGAGCGTACCCGATCCCTGCTCACCTCTGTCCCCACACCCCTTCGTCTCATCCTTCAGATCTTCTGTTTAATCTTACAGTTTCTACTACGTTTGAGACAAAGGAAACTCTTGTTTTCTAGGGTTTAAAAGTGAGTTTTGAGAAAAGAATGGATACTTTTCATCTAAAAAGCGACTTTTGTCAAAATTAAAGATCAAGGCACAAAATATACAGCTATTTGAGATCCTTTACAACTTTTTATTCAAACACACGAGGCAGAGAGGACCTCAGCCTGCTGCACCCCCAAACCGAGTGCACCTGCGCCACCAGCCCCCACCACTGGCACCTCCCAGGCTTTTTGCCCCCTTCCTGTCACCCACCGACAGGGCAGGGACCTGCTCTCTAGGCTCCAGAACCATAGATCTGATCCACTGACTTTTATACTTCAGACCAATATTTCTTGGGGAAAATTCTTATTTAGTTTGTTCAAGGAAAAAGTTCCATCTTTGAAGACAAGTTTTTTTGCTTTTTTTTTTTTTTTTGTCAGAAAATGGTAATGTGCTTTCTTTTCGGCTTTAGCTGCCAGAAAATTTAGGCAAATTGTAGTCATTACCTTATCTGGGGAGCCTGGCAGCGTCTCTCTTCTGCTTCCTGCTCGTTGCTTTCGCTCTGTTGTCATCCCCAGGTGACCTATCCTGTTGGTTTTTCACTGGAAGCGGCCCACACATTCCCGGGGAGGGGCGGCCGTTTGTGTCCGTGGACGGTCGGTTTGGTTTGATACAGTAGAGCGGATGCCTGGGGTATGGCAGCGCCACTGAGAGAGGGCCGAGATGGGAATACTCGGTTCTCAGAAACATTGGGATGGGAACGCATGCAAGGAGCAGAGCAAAACAACGGAGTGGCCCCGCGGGTTTGGAGAGTGGGCCCTGGAAGCGCGATCCTGTGGTTGCTCCTTGTCAGCGGGCGGCAGGTTGGAAGTGTCCTGTTGAAGGGGGTGCGGCCGGGCCGAAGAACTCAGACCCTGCGGGCTGGCTCCTTGTGCGTCTGTTACCTGGGGGCTGAGTGGCTTCGAGGGGTTTGTGTTGTCTGTGTGGTGCTTTTCCTCAGCCCAGTTTTCCCTTCCTTTGCCACATGTCAGACATCCTAATGTGTTGAGATCAACGAAAAAAAGACCTTTTGCTCCTCCCCCCCTCATATCCCCCTCTCCTACTCCCCCCCACCCCCAGGCAGCCCTCCCTGATTGTCTGGTGCCGGCTGGGGTGGCGCTTGCAGCATTGCCAGCCCTCAGACTGGGGGAATACTTGCCTGTTCGCCTCCAGAGCACTGCCATGGTGGTCAGGGCAGACGTGCTTCTGCCCGGTCCCCAGGGCGAGGCCTGTGGTGTCTGTCGATAAGCTACGCAATCACAGGAATGTTTTGAAATAATCAAGCTGCTTAGGAGAAAGGGGCTTATTAATGTGGAAATATCATGAGGATAGAAGTAGAAATGTGCGAGGACTTGCCTGGTTAAGGAGCAGACCTCGGCTGTTTTCCCCTGAAAATTACTCTTCCCGACTGCCACAGATTCTAAAGTTTTGCCTTTTGAAAACATGAGCTCACGCTCTGGGTATTTTACTGGGGGAAGAGCCTTGGACAGGGTCACGGAGCCGGGGCGTGTGGCTCCGAGGACCCGTCTGCCAGCTGTGTGCACGGAACATGCACTTATATGTTTGTTTACAAAGACGCACACACTAAATCAATGAGACCGCTTACGCACACAGTTAAACAGTCTTTTAAAACATCGCGCTGATTGGGGGTGGGAGGCAAGTAGTTACCCTCTTTCTGACCATGTGTTCATCTTTGGAAACGTGCGAATGGAAGTGCGGAGCCAGCGATGCTGTGTGCTGACTTGGTTGCATTCTTTCCTTCTGAAGACTATTTACTAAAATTGAACGTAAATATGCGCATGGAAGTTTCCAGCGGTGAGATTTTTTAAAAATTGATTTCATAGAGAAAGGGAGAGGGAGAGAGAGATAGAAACATCAATGATGAGGGAGAATCACTGATGGGCTGCCTCCTGCCCGCCCCCTACTGGGGATGGAGCCTGCAAGCTGGGCACATGCCCTTGACTGGAATCAAACCTGGTACCCTTCAGTCCACAGGCTGACACTCTATCCACTGAGCCAAACCGGCTAGGGCCAGCTATGAGATTTTTATGTAAGTTGGGGGAAAAACAGGAAAAAAAATCTTGCTTTGGGGAAAGCAAACAGCAATACCAATTTTGATGGAAATATCTCAAGCATTAGGATACCAATGGCTTGTATTTTTAAAATACCGGTGCTCATCTCCGAAGGATGAGTGTTGTGGGCAGATCTGTACCTTCAGAGAGTCTTTAAAGGGCTGACATTGTGCACAGAGGATCTGGTCACTAACTGGGCACAGTAGATTCAGGTGCGGACGGAGGGGAGGTGGCGGATTATACGCGGAGGTCTGTGTCAGTAGCCCCAGATGATAGTGTGTCGGAGGGGAAGCGGGTGCTGAGTGAATGGACCACGTGGGCGGCTCGGCTCCTCCTAACCCCTCTGGGTGCGTTGCTGCTGTCTAGACTGGGAGGCGCGCATCGACAGCCACGGCAGGATCTTCTACGTGGACCACGTGAACAGGACCACGACGTGGCAGCGGCCCACGGCTCCCCCCGCCCCGCAGGTGCTGCAGAGGTCCAACTCCATCCAGCAGATGGAGCAGCTGAACCGCAGGTGAGGGCAGTGCGCGCTGCCCCGGGTCTGTGCTGGGGCTGGGCTCATGGTTACCTGGTGCGAGGTAGGAAACAAGGGTGTCTCGCTGTCATCTCTGCGTGTCCTGTCATTAAGGTGTAGGTGCTACGTCTTTTGATTCATAGGTTTCATTGAATGTCTCTTGGTTAAAAAAATAATAATACCCCCCCACACACACACCACCACCACCTACACCACACGCACACACACACACACGCATGCGCACACACACGCGCGCGCGCGTGCACATACACGCACACACAAACACACATGCATGCGCACACACACGCACACACCGCTGCTTTGGAAACTGGAAAGGAAATGTATGATGCTGACCCTGTTCGTCAACCCAAGGCATTGCTTTTTAGTAAGCCAAATACATTTTTAAATATCTAGAACCCCCACTCATGTGTGATGCATCCTTATTATCAGTGGGAGCTTTTTAATCTGTCCCTTTTCAGGTACTGATTGCTACAGAGCAAAAAGTTGTTTCTTCTTGAACAATAGAGGGATTTAGTTTTCTTTGGTTAAGGACCACAATTGTTTTTTCTCTTATAGGACACTTTACTGATGTCTTTTAAGTGATTTAACTGCATATCAATAATTGAAATTAGGTATATACAGCATTTTGTATTTGATGTACACACTTTCATACCATAATGTTACATACTGTAGACAATTGCATAATGAGAGAGAGAATTCCCATCATAGATCAATTTCTGGGCTAAAAGTTCTTTGGATAAAATCCAGTAACCACTTATATCAGTGTGCACCTGTGTTCTTTATTAAAAACTACTCTTATTGATTTTAGAGAGGGAGAGAGAGAGAAACATCACTGTTGGGAGAGAATCCTTCATCGGCTGCCTCCTGCATGCCCCACACTGGGGACTGAGCCCACCACTCAGACCTGTGCCCTGTCCTGAATCAAACTGTGACCTCCTGGTTCATAGGTTGAAGCTCACCTACCGAGCTACATCAGGGCTCACCTGTGTTCTTTATTGAGGGACCTCAGAAGGAATTCGAAGTGGGAAGATGGCTGTGAGGGCCACAATTTTTAAAAAAATTTGTTAGGAAAATGTCCACAAGCAATGGACAGAAGACATCCAATGCGACCTGATTTTCTTAAGTGAGAGATGGCCTAGCTAGCCGGTCAGGGAATGGAGGTTTGGGAGGAAGTGGCTGAGGCAGGGATGACAGCGGAAACTTGGGGCTCGGGGAAGCGGTTGAGGCCCAGATCTCAGGGCTGCTGTGATATGACGAAGCTCCTGCTTTTAGGTATCAGAGCATCCGCAGAACCATGACGAACGAGAGGCCAGAGGAAAACACCACCGCCATCGATGGGGCCGGGGAGGAGGCCGACTTCCACCAAGCCAGCGCAGGTACGAGCGGGGAGTGTGAGGGGGTGCTGTCATAGCACAGAAGCAGAACACAGATGAAGTAAGGATTGCCAGAAAGTGAGGCTTTTCTTGTAGAGAACTTTGGATCTTCCATACGATCTGGTAATCCAGCTCCAAAAGCAGAATTCGCCAGGGACCTCTTCCTCCTTAATCCTGGACTTTGTGTCAGTACTGAGAAAAGAGTCACACCCCACATAGGAAATAAATTACTTTAATCTCTGGATCTGCGGGCTGGTAGGCAAAGATTGAGCCTGGTCACTTAAAACCCCACCGGACGCATTCCGGTGTGAGCTGATCAGAAATGCCCTCACTTTCACTTTAGTCTGATCACGAGCCATCAGGTTTTCTGTGTGAATGTACATCAGAGATGGAAGTGTTGGGCGATAAAGCAATAGAGCAGTGATGTGAGTGATGAAGGCGTCCCCAGGTGGACGCGCGTGGGTATGTTTCTGCCGCGTGGACCGCTCTCCCTGAACGCCCGTCTGGTCTGCCCCTCGTAGACTTCCGCCGGGAGAACGTCCTGCCGCACTCTACCTCCAGATCCAGGCTCACGTTGCTGTTACAGTCTCCCCCCGTGAAGTTCCTCATCAGCCCCGAGTTCTTCACCGTGCTACACTCGAACCCCGTGAGTACCGCATCGGGAAGGACGTGCTGGAAAAAGCAGCCGGCCGTAGGACATCTTCCCTGTGTGTGTGTGTGTGTGTACATGTGTATGTGTGTACATATGTGTATGGGTGTACATGTGTATGTGTGTACACATGTATGTGTACATATGTATGTGTGTACGTGTGTACATGTGTGTACATGTGTGTACATGTGTATGTGTGTACATGTGTATGTGTGTACATATGCATGTGTGTATGTGTGTACATATGTGTGTGTACATGTGTGTGTGTGCGTGTGTGTGTGTGTGTGTGTAGCAAAGTAGGAATGACGATAGCCGATGTTTGCCGAGCACCAGGTGTGTTCCAAGCACCGTGCTAAGCACTCTGTATGATTTGACCCATTCCTCCCAAGTTTTGAGTTAGATGAAAAGTCCTTGTTTCCGGATGAGGAAACCGAGGCACAGAGAGGCTGCATACCATCCCCGAGGTCATACTGCCGTTCAGTGGTATCGTGGACGGTACGTTTCAGAGATAGTGACTCCAGGGTTTATGCTGTTGAGGACCACCAGGCTGCAGTTTTTAAACTCAGTAGACTTTTATAAACACATGCATATTCTTGGTCTCCAAACGTTAGAGATTTTGGTTTAATAGGTGTAGTATAAGTCCCAAGAGCCCCCTTTTTTTAAGACCCCTTCAGTGATGCTGATGTAACTGGCCTCTGATAATTTGGGATTTCCACGTATAAAGAGATGTTGCATTTAACGACGTCGCTGCCTTGGGCACACCGTAATTCAGCAGGACTGCTGACAACTAACTTACTTTAACGGGTGAGCAGTCGCAGCAGACTACAGGTTTCTTGTTTATTTGGTTTGCATGTTAGCTTTGGTTTTCCGTACTCTTTGTGGGCATGGTTTTAAAACTTCTTTTCCTGGGAAGCCCATCTTGATTTTAAACAATTCTTCCTAAAGCATTTGAATTGTGTTTGCTTTTCCTGCCTGAACTGCATTCGTTCCTGGCTGTAAAATGATCGATGCTGTGCATCTCAGCACATCTGCAAGTTTGAAACCCTGCTGGGTATTTCCCTGATTTATGCATTGTAGGAATTATAGTAGCTGGATGTTTCTTGCTCATGGTCTCAAGATATGAATTTATGGGAATAAGTAAGCCAATTTTTGGTAAAAGGCATTACTTGCTGGCAATTCTTTTTTTTCTTAGGTTAATGGAAAATGTTACAAAACAAACTTTTATTTGGCTTCCTTATTTTAAGATTTATTATCTAGCCTTTTTTTTTGCCTGAGTTGTTTATGATCTACAATTGCTCCAATAAATTCCCTATTTATATTATTGAAAATGTTCAGCATACTAAAGGAGTGTATTAATTTAAAAGCTTTCCTAGTTCTCTTTTTTATGATTTGAAGTTATCAGTTTATGTGTTAAGCTAGTCATAAAAACATAGATTTCATATAGCAGTATTTTACTTAATCATCTTTATTGAGAAGAACATAATTAAGTAGATATATGGTTGTTATAACTCTAAAGAAAAACTGGAAAACAAAATATTGGTGTGTTTTTTTCTGTTTTGCATTATGGTTGCTTTAAGATATATTCTACTGCCCTCTGTTGGTTGTGATCAGATTTCTTCCAAATTGTCCCAATAAACCATTTCTCCTGATAACTCAAGATTTAATTATTAGTGTCATGTCTTTTATAGATGGTATTCCTGTGTGTGTCTAATAATTCTCACACATAAATATATCAATTATAGGCAACTGAATAATGTTGCCAACATACATGCCAAATAATTATTACTCTGGCTTTTAATAAGCTCTAGAAATACATTAATTCCACCGCATAAACTTTTTAGTGCTTAACCCCTAGAGTGCCAGGGAGTGCAATTGTATTCCTCCTGTCTTTTGCCAAAAGTGCCGGGAGCGCTATCAAAGCTTTGAAATGGCGTCCAGTTCTAAGTCTGCTTTTGTTAGTGATGATGATATTGCTAAATATGTCAGTGTAGTAAAGGTTTCCTTAAGTTTTTGGATATGTAACTTCATTTACTTGCGATTCATAATTTTTTTCCTAAAGTGCTGTAAAATCAGCAAAAATGCCTTGGCAATTTTAGCATATTTCCTCAGATATTGGTTGGCACTCAAAGAGTTTGTTTATAATGAACTTCTTTAAGGTGTACAGATGCTCACATCTGCTCCCACAGGTGAGAGGTATTTGCTAAAGATGCAATGATGATATTTTTCAAGTGTGAATTTGGAAAACCTATTCCCGATGAAGGACTTTTGAAATATGAAAGATAGATTTTGTTCAGCAGTAACGTGCTTACCTGTGTTATTAAACAGAACAGACCAGGCCAGGTGATGCAGGACGTACAGTCACCATAAAACAGCAACAGCAAAACCTGCCACAAAAGGAATCCGTTGATTGACACAAACTGGATGTTTACATGTCCGTGTCTTTTTCCGCTGCCCAATGGCAGTAGCACTCCCCTCCGTTTCTCTCAGTATCTTTCACTTCTAACACCTCAGATACTGAAGCAGACGACACACATTCCGCTCTAAGGAGTGTGACTCTAACACAACTGCACTGAGACATCCAGGTGACCACTGAGCTGACTGACCGTTCACTCAGCCATCGGGCGTTCATTTCTTGCCGGGAAGACATCACCAGGAGGGAGGCTGGGAAAGGGCGTTTTGGGACAGAGAAGGACTAACCGAAAAGTATGTTTTAAATCACATCAAAGGAAAACAAAACCTGTGCCATTTAGAGATTCAGAGGGGCTCTGTCTGCTATTAACAACCGACTGCCGACTCGCCTTACATACAGCAGCTTCCAGGAAACTCAGCCTGTGCGTTGCCTGGAGACTGTGCTGTGAAGCAGGGCCCTTTGCCCTGCCCTAACCTCCTGCGTTTCAGGTGGGAAATCACATCCCTTCACAGTGAAGCACCTTTTTCCATGAGACCAGGACACAGCACAGCAGAGAACAACCCCCACACAGAGAGGGGGCCTCACCAGTGAGGACCACGAGACGAGAGAGGACAGAGGCCTCTTTTCCTTGTCGCTGTCTGCGCTGTCGCTCCGGTCCCACCTGCTCAGTGTTCCTGGCTCTCTGGACCCCTGTCCTTAGTTCTGCTCATCCTGACGGTGGGATTCAGTGCTTTCACCCCCCTGTGGCCTTTGTTTCCCAAACTCTGCTTTCTGCCTCTGCGAGCCTCTTCCTCCCTCCTACCCCTGTGATTCTCCTTCTCCATCCTTTTGAGTCATCAGGCCGTGCTCATCTCTGTGTCCTCGAGGTCTTTAGGTCAGGGCTTAGCACATAATTCATGAAAAGGGATGAGACCCTTCTTCAGTTCATAGGAAGTGGGATTCTGGCTCAAGATCACCCAAGTTCTGAGTAGAAAACAACTTCACTACTATCATTCATCTGTTACAGATATGGTAGGTATAGTCTCATACATATTCATTTACTTATGTATGCTTTGTATTTTTAGAGTTATTTTTAGCTCTTTATAGATCTTTTAGATCCTTGTCCCACTGGATTTGAATCCTACAGACTTATGAAGAGAGCAGGACAGTTATCATCTCATCCTACAGCCGGGCCAATTGAGGCAGAGGTTAAATGACTTCCTTTGTCTCTGTCATGAGTGACAGGACTGTGACTAGAATCTTCACTATAGGACAATATTAACTGAGTGTATTAATATGTTTTTGATTCATATATATATATATATATATACATATGTACATAAATATATGCACATATACACAAATAGTATATATATTGCATAACATGTAAAAGATATTAAAAAATAGAATAGACTTATCCTATCTAATAAAAGAGCAATATGCCAATTAACTGTCACTCCAACATAAATATGGCAGTGCCCAGTCCGCTGGAGTCCTCCAGTCCCGGGGGGTGGTTGCAGGAGCAGGGCCCGCTTGGCTGTCGCTGTGGCAACCTGGGAGCAGCCAAGCGGGCCCCACAGACAGCAGAGAACCATGGGGAGCGGGCCTAGGCCGTCAGTAGGACATTCCCTGAGGGCTCCCAGACTGGAGAGGGTGTCGGTTGGGCTGAGGGACCCCCTCCCTGCCCCACTGTGCACGGATTTCGTGCACTGGGCCTCTAGTATATGAATAAACCTATCTGTAGTTTCTTCATCAAAGTGTAGCGTCTGGAGGCGTGTTTCTGTTTGGCCAAGTGTTCTGCATGGGCCCTAATAGTCACTGCATGTTGCACAGCCTGGGAAAACCACTGGTGCTTGAGGTTGCTTGCCAGTTCCTAAAGAGAGAAATCTTCCTTACACTTAATTTGCTTTGGTCGATGCTTTTTGCAAAGATCAGTTGAGCTTGGCACTCTATTACATGTCTCATTGAGTGGAGAGGAGGAAGATGAAAGGCCGTAATTAATTAGAAGAGCAGCCTGAGACTCAGGTGCGGAAGCTGTCCAACCCCAGGGACTCGCTTCCAGCTGGAGGCTTGGGTGAGCTCCTCACCTCATTACGGCCACTGCTTGTCCTAATGAAGTTCTGCTTCTTCCCTGTAGCGAGTGAGGAGCAGTCCTGATGCTCCAGATAAAGGTCAGGATGTGGCCTATTGAGTTGCTTTAGTGTGGAGAGAGAGAAATGAGGGGATCAAGAGATGTGCCGATTTACAACAATGGCTAATGTAACGATTTATTGGATGGAGTTATCCCACCATCATTTGTCCCCGAAGAGACGTACTGGGGACTGTGACCTGGGAGCTCATTGCTGTTGCCACCAGACAGGCCGGTGAGGTCTCGGGCCTCTGAGCTTGCAGGGGCTTCTGTGGAAATAGAACGCCACTCAGAGCCAAGTGCAGCAACCAGATGCCTTGCCGAGTGTTCGTTCAGCGCCAAAGCAGGGTCAGCCATGGGCTAAGCTATTAATTAGCTAACGTTCGCCTCTCACAGCCTTCGACTGCTTTTATTAGCCTCCGTCTCTGCTTTCATGCTATCGCCTTCTTTTCTCTCATGCCCTCTAATTGCCCACAGCCCTGTGCAGGCATGCCGGCTTGGCAGACTCTGTGCTGGGCACCTCAGTTTCTCACAGCCGTCAGAGCCTGCTTTCGGTTAGGCAGGTTGAAATGTGACCTTTAAATACTGTATACTCAGGCGTATTAGGGAACTAGACTACGCTAGTATTTGAGAATGGTTCAATGTGTTCTTCCTTCCCTCTTTCCTTCCTTTCGTCTTGAAAGGGAGAAAATATTTTAATGCAAAATAAAAAGTATATAATGAGTGAATCAATCAGAATAACTACATAATAGTTTTATACTAGAAGCCGGTGCACAAAATTTGTGCATGGGTAGGGTCCCTAGGCCTGGCCGGCAATCAGGGCCGATCTGTGGGGTGACTGGCAGGGCAATCAGGCGGCCTCCACTGGCACCCACCTTGGCTGGCCTGGGGCCTGTGGGCTGGGGGCAGTTCCTGCATTGAGCGTCTGCCCCCTGGTGTTCAGTGCACATCATAGCAACCGGTCGTTCTGCCATCGGTCGATTTGCATATTAAGCTTTTACTATATAGGATAGTGTCGGTTACATGTCAGTAATGGCAATAGCACATCTCATTGACAAACTAACAAAGCTGTGTTTCACATTGCAAATTGGATTGTGAGGGTTCTATGATCTCTGTAGCCACTCAGAGCAGAGACCCCAGGGGCCCAGGCTGGGTCCCTTTCCAAACATTGCCAGTCACTGTGCCAAAGGAAAGAAAGCTCAAGAGGGACTCACATTGGCAATGAATGTGTTGACCTGGACATGACATATCTCGAGGGACCCTGGACACTTAGGAGCAATGTGGACGGTCCTCATACTCACTTATCTATTATCCTCAGTCACTACCACAGTACTGGGCATGGCAGAGGCAGAATGAGATGATGTCCAGGGATTCTGGTTTCTGTGGGGTTTGCCTTAGTCTGTCTTAGATGGAAATTAACATAACCCAGGAAGTAAAACCTGTAGGTCTCCAGATCCAGGGAAGAGGGATTGAAAGCCCTTTGAACAGACCTGAGAATAGAGTTTAATTCCAGGACAGAGCATTCCTGGCCAGGTCAGTTTCAAGTTATTCCTGTTCACTCCTTGGCACATGGTATTGTGCCGTGAATGTTTGTTGGCTGACTTCTATGTGGACCACCCATGGCTTATGGTCCGTTTTCAGGATATTCCTTAGGTATCATAGAGATGAAGACTGTGGCGTTTTTGACAAAACACTTTTTTGTGTGGTGGTATAGTTGAATTTTATTACATGTGCATTTTCAATAATATAAATTGGGCCATATGTGTATGTGTGTGTGTGTGTGTATCTGTATATACACATATACAGGAAAAATGGAAAGAATATATATATGTAAGAGGTATAAAGTCCAGATAGTGCTGTCTTCCATTCCATTCCCTGAGCTTATGCCTCACTCTCCTGTGGTCTCAGATGAACACAGCTCAACTGTGAGAGCAGCTCAGCCCCATTGCATGTGCTTCTCATATTCATGCACAGGGCTGAGCACTTTCCCCACCTGACTTCTAAGTGTGTGCCAGCTGCTTCGTGGGCACTCACGCGATGGATCTGTCCCGATGCTGGGGGGAAGCTGGCTCTTTGGGGGCTCACTGGAAGGGGGTATATTTGTCTTCAGCCTGGTGTGATTTTGACTATTGTTTTTATGCCTAAAACCAACGTTAGGTGAAAACGTAGGACCTGACAGTCCCTACAGAATGAGACTCCATGGCTTTCGTACTCACTAGATACCTAGACCTCATCGGGAAAGACGGCCTTGCTTTCTGTAGCCTTTCTGTATGATTTTGATCAAAACATGTTGTTCTGTGTCTGCCCTTCCCGTGTGTGGGTCTAGAGCTAGGTGGGAGCCTGTCTGCCCACCAGAGGAGTAGACACACCCATGTGTATATGTGGCTCCTGCCTGCCCCAGGGGTTAACCTTGGTTCTCCATCCTTTCTCCAGAGTGCCTACCGCATGTTTACAAACAACACGTGTTTGAAGCACATGATCACCAAAGTCCGGCGGGACACCCACCACTTTGAACGCTACCAGCACAACCGGGACCTTGTGGGATTTCTCAACATGTTCGCCAACAAACAGCTGGAGCTGCCCAGGGGCTGGGAAATGAAACACGACCATCAGGGCAAGGTAACATGCAAGCGGCACGGGCACATGGCCCTGCCCTTCGCGTCGGCGGGGGGCCCTTTGTGAGGTGACACAGGCCATCTCCTGGGTTCGAGCGAAACCTGGACCAGCAGGCTCTCCCTAAAACGGTCACCACACACCTCGGAAGCAGTGTGTGCGGAGGACGGTGTGGGGGCTTTTGCACATGAGACAGGCGTGTTTGCCTGGATATGCTTCCCCCTGTAACCTCTCACCATCTTCTGCCAATCAGAGAAGAGGTGTCTTCAGTGATGGCACTTCCTTCTCCCAGCTAAACAGCTCGTGTGATGGAGAGTTGGATAACAGTGGTAGTGTTTGGAGACGGTGGCTAGGAGGTTGCTAAGCAACCACACAAGGTGTGCCTTTGTGACGCTGTCTGGGTTTGGGCCTCAGTCTTGTTGGTTCAGATCCCGGATTTTGTTAGCACGTCAGACAGGAACACAGGTGGATTCGTGTGTGGTGAGCAACGCGTAGCTGGTCACACAGGCCGGGGGAGCCACCTGTGTGGCTACTTCCTTTGTAGACGGTGAACCGGGAAGCCGGGTTGTAACCAGGAGCTCGTCACATGAGCATGAAATCGGAATGAGGAACTTGGTCATTTTTGTAAGGGGTTCCTCAGCTGAGATGCTATTTATCTGATTCTTGTTTAGCGCCGCTGCAAGCCATAAACATTCTATATGTATTATATAAAAATATATAATACATATATTTTTTTTATTGATTTTTTTTACAGAGAGGAAGGGAGAGGGATAGAGAGTTAGAAACATCGATGAGAGAGAAACATTGATTAGCTGCCTCCTGCACACTCCCCACTGGGGATGTGCCCGCCACCAAGGTACATGCCCTTGACCGGAATCGAACCTGGGACCCTTGAGTCCTCAGGCCAACGCTCTATCCACTGAGCCAAAACGGTTAGGGCCATTCTAAGCTTTTTATATGTTTGAGCTTCTGTCAGCAACTCCATAGACAGTACTGCTATCATTACTGCCAGGTCCAGGTATGGAGCCTCAGCGATTGGTTGGTGACCTGCCCAGTGTCACCGGGATGGGCAGGGTTGAGCGGTGCCCTCGCCCGGGCTGCTGGTCGGAGGCACCATGTTCTCCATGCAGTAACCGCCTTCAGCATCCTTGTCTGTAGAAGGACTTTACCTCACTTGTGGGTGCGGAGGATTAAAGCGACCTGATATCTGAAGTAACTGTGCTTGGCTCATTCATTCAGTAAACATTTATCGAGCCCCTAAGCAAGGCAGACAAGCCAGCTGCTTCCTACAACTGCGTGCTCCTGGGAAGAGGCGGGAAATAAATAATAAGGACATAGCATGCCAGGCGCCTAGTCATGCTATGATTTAAAACAGGGATGGGGACCATCCATCCTATGGGCCGCATAAGGCCTGCAAAATCATTTGGTCTGGCCCTGCCAAGGCATTAGGGGTGCGTTAATGAAACGTTTGGCCACATAGAACAGGCTAATTTTGAAGTTGATAATTTTGCCTGGCCCTTGAGTGATGCTATAAATATCCAAATGCTCTCGGCAGAGAAAGGTTCCCCACCCCTGGCCTAGCTGGTCACGGTGAGGACTCGGAAAAGCACTGATGGTGTTGTGCCTGGTGTACAAGAGCCCCGGCAACCAGCATTCATTTCTCTTCTCATCTCGGCCAGGACTTTTGCCTGGCGTCAGAGAACCACTGGCCCGGGACCCCCCAGGGGCGATAATGCTGCCCACAGCTGGCTCTGTGTAGAGACTTAACTTGCTCAGTCAGTTGCACCCTCAATGAAGGGGCGCGGGAGCTTTGCACATGGGGGAGGAGGGCCCTTCTGCCCGTCCTAGCCTGCCTGGCGCCCTCAGGGGACAGCGCCGTAGTCACAGCCCCTGGACCCCGAGGACGGTTTCAGTTGCATTTAGGGTGCTGTTGCCGATGAATTACGATTGAGGGTTAAGGACAAGTTCTGTCTCATAGCTTTTATAAAAGTTTCGATGGTTAGACAGCAGTAAATGTGATCTCGGCATGTGAGAAACCACGATTCATCCTGTTCCCTGAGGGCTGTGGACTCGAGGTGGGGGGTGGGGGTGAGGGGGTGTGGAGGCAGGTTCAACCGCAAGTCGTAGGCATTGCAACGAGCCCTGAATGTGGGCTGGGGCTGGTAGACAGCTGACCGCACAGTCCACTGGTGGATTGGCCGTTGGCTGCCCTTTGGCATGGCAGACAGACCAGGACCCCTGCCCTGTGGGCAAAACAGCTTATCAGCCAGGCCCGAACGCCTGTTACTTCAGCCTCATCTCTCCGCTTCCTGCGTTAGGACTGGAACAGGATTTGGCCTAAGCTGGACGCCTTCGCTAGAGCAGGTGTGCCTTCCTGTCACTCCCCCCCTCCCCCCCTTCTCGTACAGGTGACTGGCTTCCAGTTAAAGGGACTTAAAGGGACCCTTGGGGGAGGCTCGTGCAATGTCAGTGCCCAGCTGTGCTGCCAGGTCACAGCTCCCACCCCCCAGGCAGTGAGTGGGTTTGCTCCCAGCCCTGAAATGCTAGCCCCCCTTTTATTAAGGAATTGCTTTGCTTCCAGAACATTGAAAGGGAGTGAACTTCTTTCCATTTACTGTAACGTCAAAAGCTATCCAATTACAGTTACTTTCCTACCATGCTGAGTGGCTTCTGGACTTCACATGGAATAGGGTGTCCACATCCTCAGCTGCATGAAAGGATTCTTGAGAGGAATGCTCTCGCCCCCAGCTCGTGGGGCTGCTGAAATCTGGCTCCCTCTTCTCTTCCCAAGTGCAGCATTTTCCTTTCGCGTTTTCATGTAGTCGTTCTGAATGCCTACTGTGTGCCCGCCGCTGTGATGTGCGTTCTGTGGGAGGCAGTGCTGAACCCGTGATGTTGTGAGCACTGAGATTCGATCCTTTCATGCTCACAGCAGTCTTGTAGATCGCTGCTCTGTTTACCCACATTTTAAATGCTTGTTTTATTTTTTTAAAATTAATTTTAGAGAGAGAGGAAGGGAGAGGGAGAGATAGAAACATGGATGAGAAACATCCATCAGCTGCCCCCTGTACGCCCCCTACTGGGAATCAAACCCAGAATCTGGGCATGTGCCCTGACCAGGTAGCAAACCAGCAACCTTGTGGTGCATGGGACAGTGCTCAACCGACTGAGCCACCCTGGCCAAGCTCTATCCCCATGTCATAGACGAGGAAACGTTTATAGAGGAGGCGCAGCATGGTGGAAGGGATTGACCCAGGCCCCACAAAGAGTACCAGGTGGAATGGAATCTGAGCCCAGGCAGCCCAGCTCCAGAGCCGGTGCTTGGACCCTGCCTCTCGCCAGTGAGTGGGGTCAGTTCCAGTGCAGGGAGGAAAAGGCGCTGTGGGAGGTGGGCTCTCGGACACATGGCGGAAGGCACCCAGGGGTGAGCTGCTCTCCGCTCTCCAGGTGTGAGTGGCCAGCCCTTTCCTGCATCCCCCATCGTTATTGTTTCATGACGTCTGTCTCCATCACCTCACGGTATACTCGTTAGTGTGTTCTGTCTTCCCAGACAGATGTCCCCTTCCTAACACATTGCGGACCAGTTGTGTCATTGCCAGCTTTACCCAGCGGCCAGATAAGTTTCTATTGAAGGAGTACAAAAAGCGTTTTATGTAAATGGTAAAGGCACGCTTTAAAATTAAATACCCTTTGCATTTTGAAGTTATTTATTACATGTTCTTACAAGCTAATATCTTTTTAAAGAATTCTCGTGATTGGCCACAAGCTTTAGAACAGAAAACACGAGAAATCTTGTGAGCTGTCCGCAATATGTTAAGAATTCTGTTATTAGTTTTATTTTTTGTTGGTGGTGGGTTTTTTTTCTAATTACCCCCTTTCCTACCCCGGTGCCTGTCACATAGAAGGTTCTCAAAACAAGTTTGATGAATGAATGAAAGTCAGGCATCTCTGCACAGGACGAACTCAAGGCTCCCTCTCTACTCACCACCACGCCCACGCCCTCCCTCCCCCCCCCCCCCCCCGCCCTTGTGCTCACCAGAAGTCCCTGACAGGGTCCCATTCCATCTCTCCATGACCCGCTGATTGACCTCCATTTGACCTCTCTTCATGCATACGTTGTCCTGGATTTTTCGCATTACATGTTTGAACAAGGTAGTAATTATGCTTGTACTGCACTTTAGTTGTCTTCAATTTTGAAGAGACTCTTTAATTGCTTAAGGCCAAGGGTTTAAATTGGGTGAGATTCCACAGGATTTGGGCAGGCTCCTTGGGGGAGTTCTAGGGTGAAACATGTCCTCATTTTGAAACAAAACATAGAAGCAAAGAAAGTTGCCCAGTACAAAAAAATGTCTCTGCTTGCTGCCTCTGGTCAGAGTTCTTAAGTTTTTGTACACCCTCAGGCGTGTGGAAATCAGGGGCAATTTGGGATCTGGCGACAGTTATGTTTTTGCAAGAACGATGCGACAGCGGCGTTAAAGGTGACTTGTTTCACGCGTTTCTGGTCCTTGGCTGGGTTTGATCGCTGGTAGGGAGATGCCCATGGGGAGCACATGTCTCGCAGACAAACGTGGGCTTTAGTAAGGACAACCGGGTGCTATTTAACTTAGGAGTGCTCTTCCTCCGCCCTTCCCCTTGTTGACCTGATGACATTAAATCTGAGAAAACGATGTCACAGTGGAGGCAGGATTTCTAGCTCCATCGCTGTCTCACCTGACCTCCCTGAACCCAGGTGTCTCTAACGCAGCGGTTCTCAACCTGTGGGTCGCCAACCTGTGGGTCGCGACCCCTTTGGGGGTCGAACGACCCTTTCACAGGGGTCGCCTAAGACCATCGGAAAACACATATATAATTACATATTGTTTTTGTGATTAATCACCATGCTTTCATTATGTTCAATTTGTAACAATGAAAATACATCCTGCATATCAGATATTTACATGACGATTCATAACAGTAGCAAAATTACAGTTATGAAGTAGCAATGAAAATAATTTTATGGTTGGGGG